ACTTGGGTCTAGAACCATATGGCTGTGGCTCAAAATTAAACAGGAGGGCTTACGCAGGTTTTGGTCCATGTTTCCCCTTACCCGGGTTCCATTTTGGTACCGGTTTTTTGAGCCACAGCCATATGTTGTGGAGTTGGGTTCTAAGAACCCCTTTGGCGACAAAAAGGTCCTCATGTCCCTGCTGAAATGGAGTTTTGTGTTTAATGTGTTTAGAATTCGCAGCAAAAGAGATCTCTTCTTAGGGTTGAACATGTTTGGGTGTCGCAATGTCTCACACCCCCCAAACCGTTTCACCAACATCCCAAAGGCAAACTCCATGCTGCTTGGTGGGGGTATAGTGGATGCCAAGCCCTGCGCCGGATCCACTACCACCGCCAACCAGGGTTCCTGGTGCTGCTGGTACCTGCGTCGGAACTCATCCACGAAGACTCGTCTCAAAGTTGCCTGTGAGTTTGTCGATTTTTCGAGGGCACCCTTTCCCGAAGACCAAAAGGAACACCACGTTGTGGGTCAGAAGCCACACCCAAAGAGGATTTGGAAATAAAAGCCGAGAACACTTTGGGTTTTTCATTGCTGGTTGCAACCCAACGAATCAAAGAGCAACAGACCCCCGGTTTTGGGGCAATTTCAAAGTGCTCCCACATGCTTCAACTGATTTAAAACGCTGCCAAGAGTACCAAGACCCATCGCCAAGAATCAAGTCACAGGACAGCTTATGAAACCTACAGGAAACCAAGGCGACTCTGATCCATTTGTCTACCTCTTGACCCAAAAGATGACTAACCTTCAGAGGTTCCAAAGCGGTCTCTCTGATCCGGGTCGCAGGAGTTTACAGAACCTGATCGGTCAACTGAGTCATCATCAAAACCCGGTACTAAAATGGTCGACCCAGAACCATGCTTCAAGAATTAAGAAGGCAAACGCAGCTATATATGGAAAGGGGATTGTTCATTACTAACCTTCCCTTACCCGGGCTTTGAGCACGTGGCTCAACTGCTAGTCCCAAACCCGAACTAAGCCCTCTAAAATATATAAATCAGACATATTTTAGATTCCCTTTAAAACTAACGAGGAAAATACGAGATGAGTCCCCAGGAAACCAAAAAATAACAAATATGTCCAGTAGTGTTTTTTTTCAATCGTGTTTTTTAGAGATAGATTCCCTTTAAAACGAACAGGGAAACATAATAATTAATGAAACCATATTCTTAAGCAAATGTCCCAACCCCGCGGTTGACCGCTCCGGTCACGTCATCTGAGTCTGCACGTCGATGCCGCTGAGCCAGCAGCCGTAGCCAGGGTGGGAGTGGTACCAGCCGCAGACCTCACGAGTCGTCCGGTGAACCAAATGGGGGTGTGGCTCAAAATAGGAATCCGCCCATGGGTTGCCCTGGTAAATGGAAGTAGACTAAAACCTGCGCAACCCATGGTCTTGAATTTTGAGCCACACCCATTTGGGTCTGTCTCAGCATAGACCTCTTTTTTGGATGGGTTTCACAGGGAATCTAGGGGAAGCCGGCCATGGGGGGGGCATTTTGAGAGTGTGAACCAAAACTGGAAATCCTGGGCTTGGTTGCTGCAACGACCTCTCTGCAAAAAGTGAATCACTTTTTGTGGGTTTAATACGGAAAACCCAACTTGATTTCAACCAAAAAGATAAAGTCGAAGGATCCAACCCAATAGCAGTAGAGTGGGACCCCCAATGGCTCGAATTACTTTCCATTTTGTTTCTCAGAATAGGGGACCCCAGCCCCCCAGAAAAAAAAGAACACGATTCTCCTTTTCGAAAGCAAGCCCAGCTGATACCCTGTTCTCGAGATCCAAAAAGAAGGATAGAATGGTGTGAGATAGAGGATTGGGAAGGTTGGGTGTTCGAGAATCTATGATTTTGTTGTAGCCAACTTGTAAGTGAGTGAAGTCCTAACTGGAATAACCGTTAGAAGCCAGAAAACCATCCAGTCCTTCCAAAAACCAAAAAACGGACACACCCAAGAAGACCCACAGGAACGTATGGGGCCTGCGGTTTCCAAAGACCTTTCACAAAGTGCCTTCCTAGACCTTCAAACTTCCTGCCTTCGTCCCAAAAAAGTGCCCCAAATCCATGTGGGTGTGGCTCAAAAATAGGAATCCGCCCATGGGTTGCCCTGGTAAATGGAAGTAGACTAAAACCTGCGTAACCCTTGGTCTTGAATTGTGAGCCACACCCATTTGGGTCTGTCTCAGCATAGACCTCTCTTTTTGGGGGGTTGTGCAGGGAGACTACGGGAAGCAAGCCATTTTATTCTCTTTTGGGGCGGGGGTGTCACATAAATTTGAGTGAGAAAAGCGAAGATATCCGTACCACCTTTTGCTCACAAAACGGGACACGCCTGAAGAAAGAGCACGGGAGGCAAACAAATTCGGCAGCTTCCCCTGACAGGTCTTCACATTCTGCATAGTCATACCAGGCTGCTCAGAAGGCAACTCATTTGCTTCTGCATCGTCTCCAGCAGCTTGCCATGCTATCCAAGCTGCCTCCCCCGCTCTCGCATGTGATTTGTGGCGAATTCCTCTTCGCGGTATATATTTCATAGGCGTCGTTGCCTGCGGCGTTTCCTGAAAACGTCGACTGTCAAGGTCAAAGGTTACTTTGGAAATGTCGCACATTGCAGGTCAAGCTGGGGCTGGCACCTTGATAGTCCCTGGGTAGACCCCGCAAACCAGGTCATTCATGAAGTAGAAGGATGGTGGAAGGGCCCTTCAACATCGAAATGCGGTGGCTGGAAAGAAACTGCCTAGAAATATATTCATAGGCATCGTAGGATACAGTATTTGGCTTCTTCTGCTTGATGGCCTCAAGCTATCAGAGCATGTCAAACCAGAACGGACAAAGATCCAAAGCAAACCGTGGCGGAGCGTGTGGCCTCTTTAAGGTCGTCCACCTACCATCCCCGGACCAGTGTCCTCCTGCTGACGCTGCACTTTCTGGGCAGCCCTCCGCCGATCATATTCCTTACCCCTTAAAACTCCAAGGATTGGGGAGGTTAATCTTTTACATACATATAGCCCATGTTACCCCCAAAAAGTTGAAACGTTGTGTATTTAAGAGGTAAGATTCACCTACCTCGAAATGGGATCCCATTGGTGTCGGGCTAACATGGGAGCAGAGGTGGTTGGCCGTTCACATGGCTCGGTTTCGAACCAAACTGTCCGTTGTCTGACCCCCTGCGAAAAGTGACTAACTTGTGGGTTAAATGGACACCCAGCCACTAAACCAACTAAACGGCACTAAAACCTAAGAGACCGGATTGTCTGGGAACCACCAGATGTGACATGATAAAACACACATCACCTACTGCCTGTGCCTTTCAAACTACCTGCAGAAAGGTGGTTCGGGTGGTTTGGAGGTTAGGGGGCCACTTGACTCCAGATAAACTCACCAGGGGTTCACCTCCAAAGCAAATTAAGCACCACCTGAATCTTCTGGGTTTTGCCAGCGAACAAGACGTGTTCGCCGCCACAAAAGCAACATGAGACATGCATAGGACAGTGGGATTACTCCGAACCGCACTAAGTGGTTGAACCGCGTGGATGATCTGCTTTAACGGGCTCCTCTGGTTAGGAGCTGCCCCAGGATTAATCGGAAGTTGACGGCATTCTCCAATCACTTGGCCCAACTTGCGTGGATTGGGGTGCGAACACCTGCCGATGCCAAGCTCTCACGCGTTCTCGACCTTGCCGATGCGCTCGCAGGTCCTCGCACAGACCGGACTTCATTTGTTCCGACGTGTGTTTTTGAAAGGTAGCCTTTTTGGGGTGGTGTAAAAGGAAACTAGAGGGAACATACCCAACGTGGGGAGCGTTTATATAGATTGTCGATACTCTCAAAATGGTCCTTGGAAAGAAAGGACGTATTCCTGTCTGATCTTCTATGGTTTCGCCCCCACCAAGTCAACATAAAGCCCAAAAGCGCCTTCACCCATGCAAACAACTGGAGATTCCACCAAGAATGGCGGTTTTTTGGGGTTCTCTGTGCATCAGGGTGTCTTTGGGGTTTTAGTGAACTCCTGCAACACTATGCCCACGATCTCGTTGATGTGTCTTTTATTTCTGTGGACTAGCTACTAAGTATACGGTCGCTTGGACCTTTTTCTTCTTCCATCAGGGACACGAATCGGACGTTCCAACGTGCGGCTTTGTGCCAAGTCCTTGACCGTTCTGCTCACAACTCCATATCTTGAACCCTTTGTCCTCCAGTAGAGAGGTTAGAATAAGGGTACCCTTTTTCTGTAGTCAACTTTAGTAGGGGAACCCTCCCCAAAAAAAGGGTAAACGGGGACCTAGCTTTGTGTCATCAACACTCGAGTGCCTCATCTTGCGCAAACAACTCCTTCATTGGAGCCATTAGGCGGATCTGGAATTCCTGTTCAATACTACAGAGAAACCCAATATCACCAAACAGCGCTGCTGCAACGGCAGTTGTTGCTCTCTTCTTCTTCATCGTCGTTTTCTTCTTCTCGGCTTCCAAGTCCCCAGAAAACAGACAACTGTGTGTGTGTGTGTGTGTCTTTTGGGGGGGGTGGGCCCCCAAAGGCTGGTCTTCCTGTTGCTCAGTTGTTCAGTGACCCTGGAAAAAAGGGAACCCTTTTGACTCGTGGCGCTTCCATGTCGGTGAGGACATGCGGAAACGCGGGTCACAGGCGCATGCCGCCCCAGGACCTCACAGAAACGGGCAACTGGTGCCCCATAAAGCCAAAGTGCTCACCCCACACCTGGCGTGGCGGGCAGCGGGGTGCTGCGTGAAACGGAGTGCCACCAGGAGTGACGTGGCAACGAATTGAAGCGCCCACCAGAAGAAGGCAGATCAATCAAAAGTATGCTGTACACAGCAGAGAACCCGAAAGTTGAACAGGATCCAGCAAAGCCACATCCAGCCAGACAAGACGGGGCCTCCGAAGCCGTTGACCCAAGAGCGCCGGGAAATAAGGTGAAGCACCACACGGCTGCAGCCACTCACAGTAGAAGGACTGTAAACTATCGAAGTACCAGTCCCACCGGCAAGGAAGGTAGGAATCCCGCGTCTACCTTGGCACCGACTGCTGCAAGCACTGGAGACCCACAGGTACCATGAGAAAAGCCTGCATCACAACTGCCGAAAGTCCCACAGTGACGAGAGGGCACAACCAGGCTCCAGAAAGAACCACCCAAATATGCAGACGCAGAGCGTGCAGAGGACGAGTCATCAAAGGGGTCAAAAACCCGCAAGGAAAGGCCCGCGGCACCTTCACCCAAACAGGTGTTCAGAAGATGGGGCCAGCCCGAAGGCCAGGAATCTTCACGGGTAACAGGGGGTTCACAAGGAGCAGGTTGAAGACGGAGCTGCCAGCCATGGCTTTTTGGACGCTGGACCGGGCTATGGAGCCCCAGCCCAGCCCCGGGGGCTCAACTCCCTGAGCCGAGGGGCCTTTGAACCCGGACGGCTAACAGGGAACCCTTTTTTGGGCAGACCATTTTAGTGGGGCAGCCACCAAAAAAAAGGGGAAAAGGGAACAACTGAGTTTGGCTTCCTTTTAAAACCATCCAAAAGGAGGTACCCTCTTTCGATCCATCAAGTGGACAGAGGGGCTCCCCTCGGAACATCTTCCAAAAGCCCCGTGCCCGAACCCCGATTGGAGGGGGAGCCAACTCAAAAGACGAGCCACCAACCCTTTCATTTGAGGGAACCCTCTCATTTTCGAGGGAACCCGCTCATTTTCGAGGGAAAGCGCTCATTTGTTGAGGGAACCCGCTCATTTTTGAGGGAAAGCGCTCATTTGTTGAGGGAACCCGCTCATTTTCGAGGGAAAGCGCTCATTTGTTGAGGGAACCCGCTCATTTTCGAGGGAAAGCGCTTATTTGTTGAGGGAACCCGCTCATTTTCGAGGGAAAGCGCTCATTTGTTGAGGGAACCCGCTCATTTTCGAGGGAAAGCGCTCATTTGTTGAGGGAACCCGCTCATTTTCGAGGGACAGCGCTCATTTGTTGAGGGAACCAGCTCATTTTCGAGGGAAAGCGTTATTTGTTGAGGGAACCCACTCATTTTCGAGGGAAAGCGCTCATTTGTTGAGGGAACCCGCTCATTTTCGAGGGAAAGCGCTCATTTGTTGAGGGAACCCGCTCATTTTCGAGGGAAAGCGCTCATTTGTTGAGGAAACCCGCTCATCCCCAAAAAGTTGCCCATCCCCAAACAATCCGGCAATTGCCCGTCCCCCAAAAATGACACGGTGAGAAAGGGCACCTAGCTGGGGGACCTAGCCTGTTTGGTGCCTGAAGATCCCTTGAGTTGGTATTTTGGGGTCATGGGACCTTTCCGACATGAGGCTTAAAACAAATCAAAGGGAACCCTCCCAACCAAAAAAGGGGTAGATTCCCTTTAAAACCAACAGGGGAAAATAAGACAAATATTCCTTTCAGATGGAAGAAAAAGGGGTAAGGGCACTTAGCTGGACCTTGGAATCCCATAATTGAAGACCAAGTATTCAGAGGGCCCCCCCCAATTCTTCAAAGAGCATGGAGCTGGAGCTTTCGAAGGCGGTGAAACAAAATGGCTTCGTGCACTCCTCTTGGAAAAAAAAACACCGACGATGACCCTGAGTGGAATGAACCCCCCGAAGACCAGTGGAACCCATCCATTTCTATCCAAACGAACCAACAAAAAGACACCTGTGCTTTCCTTCGCCGAGTTCAAGAAAACCCACGGGGCGCCGGGCTCGGTAAAGGTCACCATGAACTCGTTGGCGCCGGCGCCGGCGTTCACCTCGATGGCTCGAAGCATGGGAAGGGCGCCACTCACGCCGTGGCGGTCCGTGTTCAGATCTAGACAAATATCAAAAAATCCCCCTCTTGTTTTAACTGTTCCCAAATTTCTAGTAGGTAGATCCAAAAAATAAGCAACGTAGCTTCTTTTTTAACTGTTCCCAACATTGTAGTGAGTAGATTTGCTCAACGTGACTAATTTCTGGGTCACTATATTAATCCAACTAAAAACAACTAAACTTAATATGAACCCCCAACCACTATATTAATCCAACTAAAAACAACTAAACTCCCAAAGAACCGGATGGCTGTTTCAATCACCAAGACAAGCCGCGGCGAAGAGCCATGAATCTCCAGTCAGGGTGGGTTGGCTGAATCCGTAGGAAGCCGTGCTTCAGCCATGGCACGTCTGAGGGGTTGAGGGGTTTGCTTCCAAATGTTCGGCCATAGGTTTGCAACATCTTGGGCAAGATGGCATTCCCATCGCAAGGTACGACGCTAGACCAGCATGGAAGCGTGCCATCCTCCTTCACCCAATGTGTTAAAAAAGAGAGCAAGTGTTTGATCTTTCAAATAAAACATCGAATCATGAGCCCCTAATACGCCTCGGACATGGTAGTGTCACGGAACCAGGAATGTTTCTCCGACTCAGAACGAATAACTTCAGAAATTACCAACCAACCTTCCAGACCTCCACTCTTGTTTTGGGTCGTTGATTTTCCAGGGTTTTTCCCCTTAAAGCAAAGTTGACCGAGCTCGCAAGCCAATGGGAACCCCGCATTCATAAACCCCCAGTTGATTTGATCAACCACCTTTTAGTGGGGCTTTACTTTTGGAGATGCAACACCAGAACGTCCCGTTGATGTTGACCCCATATGAATAAACACCTGGTTGTTAGGGGGTGTTCCCCTCCGGAAATGATTCGATTCCCGGCTAAACCCCGGGGAAAGCACCAGATTCTTTAAACTGAGGTGTATTCATGTGGGGTTGCCATTCGAACGGTTCGAGTTAGATCCGCCAACATCACCAGAAACCGACTGAGCCCCCGGGGCCCGCGCCCGCGTCTCGGTGCCCTCAACCGGCAAAGGGAAGGCGTCCATGATGATGAACTCTCGGTCCAAGGTGACCTGCCGCGGACAAAAAAACAAAAAACAAGAACAAACGCAAAAACAAAAAACGGGGAACCCCCCCCCCAAAAAAAAAAAAACAAGAAAAAACAAAAAAATCCGGAAAACAAAAATAAACTCTGGGAAAGCCAAAAAAAGCTGACTCTCTCGCCCGATTTTCAGAGACCTGGCAAAGAAAAGCGAGCTGAGTCTGGGGAGGAATCCTCTGAAGTGTCAAAATGTGCGGCTCCAAATGTTCATCCCCTTCAAGAAGGCAGCGCAGCACCAGCGGGACGTCCATTTGCTTTTCGCTTTTCGCCTGGGGCAAAAATGAGCAAATATGTGTAGTGAAATCGATTCCAACTTTAAAACCAAGGGAACATATTGTTTGAAATGAAAAACAAACTGATTTCAGCAAATGGAAGGAACACCATACTTTGAGAATCTCCCCATGTCATAAAGCTTCATACAGGCTTTACTATGACCTCAACAGCAGCTAGTAGAACCAGGCCCGTGCCTCCCCCGAAAAGGAGCATGTCGGCTTGCTTTCCGGAGTGCCATACGGCCCCGCCAATACATCCCATTCCGCTAAGAGTTTGCTTTTGAAAAGACGCGCTTGTCTTGGTTGACGTTGGAAGGGGAGCACAAAATCTCAAATTTTAGCAGTTGAGTGGAAGGGGAGTTAACATTCTCAATTTTTAGCAGTTAAGTGGAGATTTCCCATTAACACACAATAAGCAAACATGAAAAATGTTTCCCAACAACAACCATGTTGTGGAGATGTGTTCTTTATTCTTTGACTCAAACGCCTGGTTGCTGCATTTTGCACATGCTGGAATGGCAGGGCCAATGGATTTCGTCCAGAAAGTCGCCATGCTCCGAGGGAGTGGCTACCGAGGCGTGCGCGCACGCCTATAGGTGGAGTTTAGGCGCTGCTCAGGTGGGTTTGACTCGCTTGAGGCTCGGTACCCTAAAAGAAATGTTTTGTTTGAAAGAGAAACCAAACGGGAAAACCACACAAGCTTGGGTGTGGGTATGTTTCAAAAATCCCCCAAGATTGTAGTTGTTCTTTGGCTTCCGGGTTTGTGTATGTGTCCTTTTGGCTCCCTTCAAACCAACTTGAAAACCGTGCCGTTGAAAAGCACGAAGACCAACTGGTGAAACCCAGACTAAGCCCACCGACTCACTCTCGACCCATGCTTGGTTTTCAAAAAAAAACTTCTCCCAGCCCCCGAACCAATCCGCATAGAAAAAACCTGGCAGTAGCACCTTAACTAGGCCTTATTCACCTCTAACTTGCTCCTACTGTGGATGGACGAAATCCTGCACCACCTAAGATACCCAGGAATGATGATTCTCCTGTAATACCCACAAACAATGGTTTCGCATGGTTTTAAAGTGGTGCAGGATTTCGTCCATCCACAGTATTGGCTCATCCTGAGCTATGTTCCATTCAAGTGGTACAACCCACGAGCTTCGCATCAGCCACTCTCATAGCGAGTGCTGGGGCTACGAACTTCTTTCTGTAGTCCATTTTTGTAGGGGAACACTCCCCCCAAAAAAGGGGGAGAGAAGGGCACTACTGGGAGACCTAGGCAACCAACTGTGAAACTCGTTTGTGGCTCCCTTGCTTGGGACTGTCTGAAAAGACCTTGCGAGTTCTTCTAAAGTACTTGCCTCGCTTGCCCAAAAAGCCAGGACAAAAAGGCAGAATGGCAAAAATACTCACCGTTAGATGCATGGACCTGGGCAACCTTCAAACAAAAAGGCGTCAGGTATATAACATGGAAGTGCACAGACCCCTGTAGAAAGACGACTTTCCTCTTGGAAGGGGCCTTTTTGCACGTCCATGTCAGTTGGTGGGAGGGTAGTTGTTTTATGTTCCCCTGTTGGCTTTTTAACAGGAAAATCTCGCCACTGGACAAATTGTTAAATGTTCCGGTGGACTTCAGATTTCAAGACAAGGGTTAGGTAGCGGGTATTTTTTCCAAATGTGTGCCTGGAAGACCGATGGAGTCAAAAGCCAACATTTGATCCACCGAGGTTTCCACTTCCTGGGGAAGTGGCCTGGGATGCAAAGCTTTTGAGTTGTACCACCCGACCTCTGGAACATAGCTCAGGAAAAATCGAAACGTAGGAGCAAAACTCACCGTGTTGGAAGTTCAAACCCCGGCGCGGGCATCTCATTTTGTGGCTCTTTCACTTGGGCTGTCCACACATCCACTGCAAAAGCTTGACTTTTGGTGGGCTAAATGGACCCCCCCCGCTACCTCCTAAAATCTAAAAACCTAACGGGATGGCTGGGAACCACCCAGACTTTGGGGGTTTCGATCATCCTACGAATCGGGAAGCGCGGGCCCTTTTATTTTCTATGTATATATATATATATATTTCTCTTTTCCGGATTTCGGCCGCATCACAGAAAGGCCCATGAGAAACACGGGAACGGGACCTGCAGATCAAATCTGCAAAATACTGGACAAAAGCCATCGAGGATAGACCGAGCTCTATAAATTAGGATGGATGACACCTTATACATAGTGGGAGCAATTGCCAATCCCAAGCGGTAAATGGATTTTGTCCATCAGAAGCCAACATCCAACCGGTTTTTGGAGACTGAGGTGAATTTCTCCCTCGCCCTGACTCCCTCGCGCCTTTCCCTGCATGAGCCCCATGACCTGCAGTGAGTGCCGGGAGAAATGGTCTTACAGGCTACCTTCGACAAATATAGCCAACTTATGTATTTATGTATATAGATTATGTATATGTGCGAGTGGTATATATGTACATAGATTATGTATATGTGCGAGTGTGTGTGTGTGTGTGCATCGTTTTGAGCCCCGCCCCCCCAAAAGAAGAAAGACAGTGGTTTGCCTTTCGTTTAAAGCCACAAACAAAATATGCGTTCGAAAATACGACACATTCATTGTCTCGTCCAAAAGTGAGACAGGATGGTCCGGCCCAGAACGAGCACCCTGATCGAACCCCAGCCCTTTGCTCTTAACGTAAGAACCCTTTAGTGTAGACCCTGCTTGGGGAGACATGCATACTTGTTCCCCAGTAATGATCAAAACCCAATACAAAAACGGTGCACCCAGAACCATGTAAAGAACTAAGACGGCGGATATCCGCAGCTATTTATGGTTGGGATCGTCTCTTACCAATCTTCATCTACCTGTGTTTTGATTGTGGCTCAAGAGGGTTTGGACCCCATGGGTCTTTGACCCGATCCGCGTTTGGTCCAGTGGAAATCAGGGAAGGGACCTAGCGATCGGTAGCCCCAAGGAAGCTCACTGTGGCATTGGGTGGCTCGTCCGTCTTTGACATTTACCAAAGCCTTATTTGGTTGCTGTTAAAGGGAAACCAAAAGGACCACCAGCAATTTGTGCGGGGCGGGTCCGCGAAACAAAGGCACACCCATTGTTCGAACCATCTCCTTCTCTAGGAGAGGTTGGAATAAGTTGGTACCCGATGGTTTTCTGTAGTCTAGAACAACCAAAAAAAGGGGAGAGACAGGGCACCTTGCTGGGGGACCTAGTTCCATTTGCTTAAGCCCTCTGATACAAATAAACATATGTCCAGTAGTGAAATCGATTCCCTTCAAATTGTCAAAGTTAAGACTGGTTTCCCTTCAAATTTGCTTCTGGTCTCCCTTCAAAAGGTGAGAGAAAGGGCACCTTGCTGGGGGATCTAGTTCTGGTTTCCCTTCAAAGCCAAAACTTTTGGTCTGGCTCTTACCCATTTCCCTATGCCAGCCAGGAATCAAAAACTGGGATGAAAATGGTCTAAGGCCGACCCAAACAAAGCCGAAATCGACCCCAACCTAAATCCACCCCAACCAAAATCTAGTAGTCTCCCACCCCCAAAAAAAGAAGAAGGAAAATAACAAATCTTCATTGCAGCCAATGGACGCCATACGCCAACACACACACACACACCAACCAGCATCAAACAGGCCAACCCGCACACCCACCAAGCCAAATGAACCATCCAACTAGTGGCCTTTTGTAACGGAACCAAAGCCTGGCTTCATTTCCACATTCCCCACCTATCGCACAAGCAAGTTTTGATTATACTAGGGGTTGATTCTCCATTCTTTTCAACCATCGGTCTTTTCAAAACCGATCGCTGTTTCCCTGAAAATTTGATGGTTTCCTGAAAAGATTCGGATCCCTGAAGGAATGGAAACGGAAGGTAGCCCTAGAATTCTGGCTAACAAGATGATTTGTTGTCAACCTTTGAACCCTCATCTGGACTCCTTGAAACCAACGCCTGGTCTCATCCCACATTCCCTATCGCACAAGCAAGTTTTTTTGATTCTGGATGGCTTCATGGTTTGTCTTCCCTAGTTACTTGCAACAGGAATCTTCCCTAGTTACCTTCCCTAGTCTCCTGAAAGAATGGGGAAGGTAGCCCCAGAATTATGGCGCAGGTCATTCCCGTCGTTTCCGCCTCCAGGGGCGCGCCGGACTTGGCGTGCATCACGATCTTGATCATGGCCACAGCGGACATGCGCACGGACTGGCAGAGCGCGCGAGGAATCGTTTGGGGTATGCCTCAGGTCTAAGTTGACGTTGGAAGGGGAGCAACAAAAACAAATCTGGCAGTTATCTGGTTGGATTTCAACCGCTAAACCAGGGACACCCCCCTAGTAATTTGCCTTGGTTGACGTTGGAAGGGGAGCAAAAAGACTCAAATTTTGGCAGCTACGTGGATATGGATTTCAACCGCTAAACCAGAATAAGGCCAAAAACGGGCAAAACATGTTTCCCAACAACCATAAGGTGGGGAACTCCACGTCTTTGGTCGAAGTTAAAAGAAGAAAAGCCAAAGACAACAGGGAAAATGGGCAGAGAATAAAAAATGTTTTTTTAGGGGGGCACTTCACTCCCTTTTTGGCCGACCATGAAGAAACGAAGAAAAAGGGGAAAGAAAAGACATCATTTTTCGGCTGATCTCGTGTTTTTCGGCTGATGTGAAGGGATTTGGAGGCTGGAATAGGTAGAGGGAGATCTTCTACTTTGACAAGGTTTTTGCGGGGCAGCCACCAAACGCAGACAGATCTGGAACAAATAGCTTTTTGGTGGTGTCTGAGCCACAGTGGAACTACACTCCCTCCCACGAACATTGCACCTGCCAGGGGGTTCCTTAAGAGGACCTTTGATCTTCCAGGTACCTCCCCACAGGTGCCATGTTAGTGGGAGGAAGGGTACTTAAATTCTAGACTTCGGGTTGAACGTTGACTTCAACTTGAATGGATCTATGAAGATCGGTCAACATCTCCGGTCTATAGTCTCGGGACACGGCAGACTCACAGTGTGTTCCACAAGAAGGTGAAAGAAGTTTTTCTCAAGTGGCCATGGGTCAAATTCCAACTCGTAGCCCCAGTGAACATCCGATTCAATCCAACCACTCAAATCGGAAGCCTAAAATGGGTGGTGAATTCACCAATCCCAACCAAAATGGGATCAACTAAAACGGTTTTGACAACCACGGCCAAGTCGCCTTGGTTTAAAGTCCAGGCGGCTCTGGGAGCCCACGGTTTCCTTTAGGCAAAAACAAGAAGGCACGCCTTCGACCTGAATTGAAAAAGGCAGAAGCTAGTGCAATATGTTTCTTGTGTCGCTAAACAAAAATGTAAAACACCATAGCCAACAAAGACCACTGGTCTTTTATTAAAACCCAGTAACAACCCATTTGTTTTTACAACACCTTCCTGCGAGTTTAAAGGTTGCCAACTCCAAAGTAAGCCGGGAACTCCTTTGAGAACTCCAAAAGGTAGTGAGGATTAAGACTCCGATGTGTCTGGAACGGCGGGGCCCGAACATGAATCGGCCACCCGCCCCACTTGAGCAGGTATCAAACCCCATTTATTTTTGGCTCTACCAAGATAGTGACTGGTTTACACTGACTCTTCGAGGTCCTCCAGTAGAGAGGTTAGAATAAGGGTACCCGATTTTTTTCTGTAGTCTATTTCGTAGGTCCCATCCAAAAAAGTTGGGTGAGAAAGGGCACTACTGGGGGACCTAGTCTTTTGTTGTTTTTTGGGGCGATCTGGAGCCACGAGCCACTTGGCCAATGGCTTTCAGCCCACCTTGAAGAAGTTCACATCCTCCTTCCACGGCTTCTTGTCGAAGATGGCATCTTGCTCCGCCTCGAGGGCTCTAGAACGGAAAACCCGACGGGTCGCATGCAACGACTGTGGCACTTTTTGTCAGGTTGATTCCATTTTTGGGAGGCCACCAAACCAAACAGGGAAGCGGGCGGAAAAGAAACGGAGCCCCTTTTGGTTGACAATTTCAGTGGCCATGGGCCTTTGCTTCCCGCGTAGGACATGGGACAACTGGGGTTCGCCTGTTCTGGTGGGAAACGGAGAAAGCTACGTCCTTCCCAAATGCATGGATACTTGACCGAAGCTCATTTGGATTGTACCTGAGCTGTTGCCTAAGCAACATGAAAATGTCTCCACATGGTCCGTATCTGATTTATTGAGTGGACTGGCAAAGACAACGCCTAAATTTGGTATTTACTAAAATGGTCCAAACCCAAAAAGTCACTAAAGTCCAGGAACTCAGGGAGTGAGGCTATTAGTATCCCAGAAAGGGTTCCTCAATTTTCCTTGATGGAACCTGTGGATCACTTTCAATTCGGAAACCAGTAAGTTGGTCTCAGCTTGGTTGGCGAAATCCAGATAGCCGCCGAGAAAGTTTAGGTGCCTTCAGCCTGACGGGTTTCGTAGACACTGCATGTGATGTGAGACATTGACATGAACACAGCTATTCTAGTATCCAACTTTGACAAACATCTGGGTGCAGGATAATCTTTCCTGGGTTCGGTCGAATTCTGTCTTGCAAATGGTTGATCTGAAATAACCCGTTCGGTCGCGGCACTGCGCGTCACGGCTTCTGAAACCCCAATAAGAGGGCTCCGTCTCGCGGCGACTCCTGAAATAAAACTGTACTTCAGACATTGGACCCCATGGACTCAGGGGGGTCTTTTTGCCTTTTGGTGGAAAATTGCTCGACCCCCCGCGTAGCGGAAGGAGTCCTTTTTGTTTGGGGTCGCCAATCTTCTCACAAGAGGTGGCAAAAAGGCCCCCCTTGAGTGGAATTCTGGGTGACGCAACGCACAGCAGCTCGACTTGCATGCCAAAAACCGCGGCTCGAGCCCACAAAGTACTGCGAATTTCTGAGCAGCGGCTTCGGGGGGGTGGCGGGCACGCAACTGGACGCAGATGCCCCTGTGGATTTCCAGGGGAGAAAAACGGGCATGTTCTTTTTGGGTTGGTTGAGTTGAAAGGGAACCCTTCCGGAAAACAAAGAAAAAAAGAGGAAGAACGGGCACCGCTGGGCAACTGGGTGAATTTCTGCCAGCCCGTATTTCAGGATTGCTAGGTCGAATTCACAGTGAGGTCGGGTGACCTCGCAAAAAATGTTCCCAGAAATTAACAGCCTGCGAATGGCGACGTCCGGAGAAGGATTTATCACAGCAACCACAGGTAGCTATGGGGACAAACGGGGGCTAGGAGTGCGTTTTGAGCAAACTTTGAGAGAAGCATCACATTGGGCTTCTGGTACCACACCCGAATTCCCGGGTCTCAAATGGGGCCATTGACCCTTTGGGCACACAGAAATGATATTTACACGCTACACAAATGAGAAAGTCCCACCAAACTCCAGCACAAGAAACTTGAACCCCCCCCCCACCCCCTATGCTTTGACAGTGTCAAAGCGCTAAATGTAGTGCTGGGGGTTTGGATAAAATCCAACCGGGTCGACCACCCAGAACGTTTGCGCCCAGTCTTGCCAAGCACGCCTGGTCGAATGCGTAGATGGTTGCGTCGTCTACAGGGACAACCTGTCAGGTTGCCGAAATGCCACCCGGTTTTCACACCCGACAATCATATCAAGAAAAAAGGTTGGTGGCCAACTCCAAGTATTTTCTTTTTGCCAGTGACTCATATCCTCTTGAAACATCACCCCCTCCAAAGGGGAATCACCCCTAAGGGGATAGAGATCCAGAACAAGACATCTTGAACCGACTAGGGGACAGAACAGGGCCTAGAGATCCAGGCCTTCTGCACGACCCCTAGCAACCAGAAGCTAAAGATCGAATCACTCCAAAAGGGATAGAGATCCACTTTTAAAGACGTCGCACGACTTCCTCCGTTAAGGGGTAGGTGAAAAGTCGCGCAGTTTCACTTAATCGACGCCTTCCAACGGCAAAAGGGAAAATGGGTCGGAATAAAACAAATCCCAATCTGTTTTCAGGGGGGACATCTGCATTGATGCGAGGTAAACCTTCGCCAATTTGACAAAGGATCCAAGAAAGGTGCTTCAGCAACCCTTGGGAAAATAGAGCAAACCCGAGAGATGTCGCCTAGGACTGATTTGTGCCAAGGGCAACACACTGAGTCGTTGTATATACCTGTATATATATATATATATGGGTGACTTGTTATGAGGGTACTTCTTTTGTTGTGGTTGATAAAGGGAAGCCACAAGGAAACCGAAACATTTTGGTTTGGTCTGCATCCACAGGCCTTAGCCGCTGCTTTTTGCCGACTGGGTATGCTTCCCAGAAAGTGCACTGGGGGTTCTGTCCCAGGGATGCACCTTTCCCCCTGCAACAAGTTGACAGTTTGCTGGTTGAAGGGAAAATGATTCGGACCCCCCCCAAAAAAAAAGGTTTACTCTTTGGAAAAGGAACAGGATTCGGACGCCCCTCCCCCCAAAAAAAGAGCAAAAGGCCAAAAAGGTAGGTGAAGTCTCGCCAAGAAATGGGTGCACAACAATCCTTCATGCGTTGGACGACCGCCTGGGCCTCATGACTGGGAATCACGAGCAGCTTGAGGTTGTTTAAAGCTGCAATGATTTTTTTTCCCGCTTCAGGGGTACAGACTGCCAAAAAAAACATGATGTACGTCGTATAACCTCCGCAGCTCCAACAAACCCACAGGTTGTGTTCACCAAAAGTGGTTCAAGGGGTCTGGTCTGCTCCCAGCCTGATTCTCCAGCTCCCAAGTCTTTTGCGCGGTGCTGGCCATGCTAAGGAAGGCAGCACTGTGCTACTCGTCTTCGGGACCCGATGCACAGATAGTGCTGTCAACAGGTCTGCAACACAAACATCTCTTTTCCTTGAACACCTAGAGCGGTCAGGTGTGCCAATAACTAACACATTTGTGCAATCCACCGATGTTTACCGTCCGGCGATCGGCAAAACACAAAACCTTCGAGCCTTGTGCTAGAGCCTCTGCCTGGGGTGCCATGTGTTTTGCTGTTTTTGCGTGGCAAATCTGCTTGGCGAGTTCCACTTGGGGCGGCTCTTCACTCTTGCAACCGCCGAGCCGAGCCGGCGCGAGCTCATGTTCACAGCTGCGGGAACAGTGGTGCATCGCAAACCCATGGACTTTGGGTTCTGAGTAGAATTTTTGGCTCGTCTGAAATGGGCCAGACATTCCCGAACAGTTGGACACACCTGATATAGCCTCATGTAAACGCTAGGCTTCCAGCAAGCCAAACTCAACCCCATCGCCGCGATCTTCCACACTCTCCCTGTCCAGAAACCTAGTCAAAGCAAGCAGAACTCCTTCCCAACTTGGGTATCGCAATCAACAAAAGGCCCTGGGGCTGCCTTCGGTTTCTTGCACGTCAGCCGTGTTGCGTTGACGAGAGAGATCGTTGGTAGAGGCTACCATCTTCTCTGGGTATTTGGGCGCTTCTCAAGAATAGGAGTCCCTTATAATTACTCGGTTCTGCGGTTTCCGTTTGCCTCCCTTTGCAATGCCCACCAAGAAGGGCCCACCATTTTCAACAACTCCCAGATGAACATCCAAGAACTCACTTCCTGAAGAAAGGTCCAAAACATTTATTTCCGTTTGTGAACTTCTACTTCCATTTGCTTGAGTCCCCTGAAAACACAACAATATATCCGGTAGTGATAGATCCACTTTGAAACCAACAGGCTTCAAAAATCAATCTTGAGCACATGGACGTCTGCATGTGGCAGACATTCAACACAAGTTCAAACAAGACCCCCGCTAAGCAAATGGAAGACAGTGGCATCGTCATGGTCATTTGGAGCCGCCGATTAAAACCTGGGCAGAGGGAGGGTTCTGGGTAAGCAGAGGAGAAACAACTGTGACTCACTTCCGATCGAGTGGACCAAAAAAAACAAGCTTGTTATTTGCCACCAAAATGGACCCACCCCAAAAAGTGAGACTTTATCCGAAACGGAAACGCAGCAAGTGCAGACTATAGAGCCAAACAAATCCCAAGTCTTCCACGGGGACGTAGTCAATGCCTAAAGGTTCGGTCACCTGGTCACCCCCTTTAATTCCAGAGGAAAAAAGGACCCAGGTAAACTCTGACTTTTCGTTTCCACACCAATCTGCGCTGAGACCGACTCTTTCTTGAGACAACCCAAGTTTGAGGCCGGCCAGCGAGTATCACGCATCAGATCTTCCTTCCAGAGGCGATCGCAGCTCACCTAGTGTGTGAAACTGGAATTCCAAGGATGCAAGCAGGCATGCATGAACACAAACACAGCTTGGATGCATTTGATGCTGGCAGTCGATGCGAGCTGAAGTTAACTCATGCGAATGCTGTCCATTGCCATGCGGCCTTATCTGCAGTTCTTGAACAACAACTTGAACGGATTCCCCCACAAGCGCAACAACTGGCGGCTCATTGCCGAATTCCTGCTATTCTCAACTGCAAACTACCTACAGGGCTGGGTCGGCGACGATGTCTGCGGTTAGCCAACACCTGCAGCCAATCTTGGCAAAGCACACGATGTGGTCCAATGAACCCCCCAAGCACCTGTATTTGAAGATTTTCCCAGATAGCTGAAAGCTATAGGGGTTCTAACTTCTAATAAAGAAGGAAAAGTGATTTGCGAGATTGAGGGCCGGGTGCTAGGGGGCATGCTGTTTGGGGTGCTGGTGGAGATGCTGCTTTGCAAGCTTGACGGCCGGTGCCAGGTGGCGTGCAGTTTGGGGTGCTAGTGGAGGTGCTGTTTTGCGAGGGTGCTAGGGGGCATGCAGTTTCGGGTGTTGGTGGAGGTGTAGTTTGGGGTGCTGGTGGAGGTGCTGTTTTGCGAGATTGACAGCCGGGCGCTAGGGGGCATGCAGATTGGGGCGCTAGTGGAGGTGCTGTTTTGCAAGAGTGATGGCCGGGTGCTAGGGGGCATGCAGTTTGGGGTGCTAGTTAGTGGAGGTGCTCTTTTGCGAGAGTGATGGCCGGGTGCTAGGGGGCATGCAGTTTCGGGTGTTGGTGGAGGTGCTGTTTTGCGAGAGTGATGGCCGGGTGCTAGGGGGCATGTAGTTTGGGGTGCTAGCGGAGGTGCTGTTTTGCGAGAGTGTTCGTGGAGGTGAGATTGACGGCCGGGTGCTATTAGGCATTCAGTTCATGGTGCTGGTGCAGGTGCTGCTCTGGGGTGTTGTTTGCTTGAGGTGCTGGTGAAGGTGCAGGCGCATGTGCTGATGCAGGTGCCGTTTTGGGGTACTGTTTGGCGACGTTGTGGGCGCAATTTTCCAAGATTGCTGGCGGCCGCTAGGGGGCATGCAGTTTGGGGTGGTGGTGCAACTGCTGTTTTGGGTTGCTGTTTGAGGCGCTGCTGACCGCACGGGCGCTTCTTTTCAAGATAAATGAAAACCATAGGGGTTCTAACTTCTAATGAAGAAGGGGAATTGCTTTGCAAGATCGACTGTTGGGAGCTAGGGGGCATGCGCTTTGGGGTATTGAGGCGTTGGTGACGGTGCAGGCGCATATGGACGGCAGGGTGCCAGGGCGGGTGCTGTTTCATGATGCGGTTGAACCGGTCGGACGTTGCGTTCTAACAGTCGTTTGTGATGGTGCGTGGTTCGTGGCTGGTGTGTTATCATGATGTTGTCACCCGCGTCATGACGCTGCTGTCACTGCGATGCTGCGATGCTGCGTTGTGGTTCGTGGGTGTGGTGGCGCCACGATTGCTGTCAACATCAGGATGATGCTGAATTTCATTACGCTGTCGCGAGAAGATTCGTGGCTGTGGTATCATCATGATGCTGCCTTTACCATCACCATGATGCTGTTCGCATCACCGTGATGCTGTCCGCATCATGGTGATGCTGTCCGCATGATCGCGACGCAGTCCGCATCATCATGGTGCTGTCGAACTCATCAGGACGTCGTCTCAGCCTTTTTTCTGCTAGATATGTGGCGCGGAATCGTTCGTTGCTGGTGCACCTGCGTGATGCTGTCAACATCATGATTCTGCTGCTGAACTCATTAGGACGCTGTCTGCGCGTCTATTCAGTGCACCATGCTGAGTGGCTGTGGTATCATCATGATGCTGCCTTTACCATCACCATGATGCTGCTCGCATCACCGTGATGCTGTCCGCATCATGGTGATGCTGTCCGCATGATCGCGACGCAGTCCGCATCATCATGGTGCTGTCGAACTCATCAGGACGTCGTCTCAGCCTTTTTTCTGCTAGATATGTGGCGCGGAATCGTTCGTTGCTGGTGCATCTGCATGATGAGGCAGCGAGTGATGCAAGGATCTGGCACAAGCTCAGCTGCGGTTTGGGGTCAAGTGGGAAACCTGCGGTAGCTTGGGTGACTTTGGTAAAATCAGGGGGGCGAAACGGAGATCAAAGGTTGTACCAAACGTTTGGAACATACCCCAGGATAATCCAAAACAGGGTAACTCAGCGGCAAGTAAGCCCTAACACGGCTTAACCGTCCAAGATTTCTTCTTTCGGGCTTGGTGTGAGAGTCGGGGGAAGTCTTTGCATAGAAACTCAGAGGTAGCCGAGTGAATCCAATAGGATCGGGATGCGCCCAGCTTTCCCTGAAGCGAGTGAACCAACCAACTCCCAAGCAGGTTGGATGTTTAAATTGGGGGGTATGCTTCGTGCACAAACCCCACTAATATACATTTCCAGAAAACAAACAAAACAGAAATTAGCAGAAACAAGCTGGTGTTCAACGTCTCCCATGTTTTGTGAAGGCCAAAATGTAAACTGGGCTGTCCTCAGATCCCTTGCAAAAAGCTTGACTTTTGGTGGGTTAAATGGACATCCCCCACTTAACCCTAAAAACCTAAAAACCGAAGGATATCGCCGGGAATCACCAAGTAAAATGGTGCACGTTGGCCCAGGCAGTTCGCCAACAACTCACAGGGTTCCACGGAAAGCTGTTCGCGATGCCAAGTAAGTCAGAATAAAAACCTGGTACTAAAATGGGCGATCCCCAGAACCATGTAAAGGCTTAAGAAGGCGGCCACGCCCATCTATGCTAGGTCCTCCAATAGAGAGGTTAGAATAAGGGTGCCCTTGTTTTTCTATTTCAGTAGGGGAACCCTCCCCCAAAAAAGAATCGGTAAAAGGGCACTACTGGGGGACCTAATGCACGGCTCCCTATATTTCCCCTTAAAACATCACCCCCAGCAAGGGACACTCACCTTTCATGGGCCACAAAGGTGATGTTTAAAACCGCCAGAAAGGGAAATATAGGGAGACACATGTAATATGGTTGGGATTCTCCCTAAGCTTCATATTTCCCCAAGTTTGGAGCACGTGGCTCAAGCCAGCTTAGAGCAGGAGCGTCGGCTTGTGGAAGACCCAGACCTTCCATTATACACCCCGGAGTAGTTTTTGATCTCAAAACCTGGCTGTTTGAACCAAAATCAATCGGGAGCGTCTGATCACACGAGCAAGCTATTGGCAATTGTTTCCCGCGCCCTCTCCACCTAACGAATTTGATTTGGCATCTCTACATGGTCGTGGAATATATAACCGTCCTGTCCACAACATGGAACCCAACACAGGGTTCCTGTTAAATAAAGGTTAATAGTCTTCCAGGACCCCGAAACGTCAGGTTCCATATTGGGCCATCCCCGCAACTGTATCGCTCAGCGATCCCTTGTAATTTTGGTTTCCCTTCAAGCAAAGTCACAGTTTCTCTTGTGGGCACCCCTCTTGAGGATGGTTTAAACGGAAGCCAAAAGGACATCCACACATTTGTTGTGTTCCCCTGTTTTGCCATTGGGGAAACTGCAAAACTGATGATGTTTCCCACTAAACGGAAGAGCTACCTATGGTGATTTGGGGACCCGGGTATAGATCAACCCGCCTTGAAAACCCCTCATCCACCATGCGGCCCCACCTGGCGGCACTGACTGGCTGTACAAGGATGTCCGGGCGTGCATGGCGCCAGGCCATCCTGGTGAACGCACAGAAATCCGTACATGGGGTGTCTCCGGTGGTTTCGTGGTGTTTCGGAGAGGTTTCCCATTTACGAACCAGGGGCCCAAATCAAATCCAAACCACCAACCTGACACGTTACCTGATCTTACGTTCAGCGTCAGCAGTCCGCGCCTTACATGGGAGGCAGCACGTCTCCCAAGTCGTCATTGCCCCAGTCCTCGGCAAACATGTTTCTTTCCCTAAAAAAAACGGTGAAAAACACAACCAGAAAAGGGCAAAGAACAGCTCCCACGGTTTTCTTTTGGCCTGAAAGAAATGAAACGGGCGCCAGTTTGGTTAAAAAACAACGAAATCTGCGCAACCTTTTTCACTCCAAAGCCAACACAATTTGGTTGCTGTTGACCCCTCTGCACAAAGTTTAACTTTTCGGAGGTTTAGTGGAAAACACTTTTGTTTCCCAAAAAGCTCATGTCTAAAGATCCAACCCAATAGTTGTCAAGAAAACCAACGGCAATGCCCTCCAAATGCTTGGTGGGTTCAAACCGCAACTAAAACATGTCCACCAGAAGGCGCTCAATTAAAACCACATGCCCATATCGGTCTTCAGCCCTTGAGGTTTCAGTCATTGTGGTTCGGAGCAACCTGCTCTGCGTTGTCTTGAGCACGTGGTTGTGTAGGTGCCTTCTCGGCGAGATCTGAATATGCTAGGCGAATCTCGTTTGCGTGTTCCTCCCTCTTAGTTGCGATGAAGTGTGTCTTGGGGATGCTTGTTGGCCGTAGCCCTGCTGTGCTTATTTGGGTGTGATTTTTGAGTTGGTTGTGTGTTTAGGGGTTGTTGCTTTTTACATGAAAAGGACACCAACATGGAACTAGGCCCACCCGTGTGCGCGTCTTCGAACAACTGACACCCCTGAAAGAAATCAATTGTTTCCTCTTGGTGTTCTTTCAAGAGCCAGCCGAAATCGTTCGGTAAACTATAATGCCTCACCAACCTGACAAAAATCCTTAAAGGAACTCGTTCAATCAGCTCGTCATAATTTGCGCAGGGACTTGTGACCAGCCAATCATACGTGCCAATCGATTCTCAATATCCGCGTAAATTCAGCGCTCTCCAACAGATGGGCCCTAGCGCGCATCATTTGCAATTAGGGAACCTAGTTTGAGGGACCCTTCTGGCGTGTTTTTGATAGGGATCACGTCAGGGAGGATCCACAAGAAGTTTGAAACTTGCATCCTCGCAGCTGAATGCTTCATGCCCAACCAGCCGCTGCCCAATTCCACCCACCCGTTTTCTCGCGCCCCAACTGCGGCTTCAGCCCCCCACCAAAAAAAACAATGTTTCGAGGTGCTCCAAGTACGACACCCCGGAGATGGCGGTCTTGCTCTGCGCGATGGCTGCCATGTCTTCTCTGCGTCACCGGACAGGGTTTACTTGACAGCACCCGCCCCCACCCGCCCGCCCACCCACCCAACCACCCACCCACCCACCCACCCACCCACCCGGCTTTCCTCAAGGTGAAGTCCTAAGCGCGCTGCGCGGTTGATGACAATGATGATCCTTGACAAAAAAGGATCAGCCCAAGCGCTTCCTTTGACGAAAAGGGAAAGGCTTGTGGAACGCACCGCTTTTTACAGCCGGGAAACTTTTTTCAGCAAAATGACGCAGCAAGTAAGCTCAAAGTTGCTCGGCCAGTGTGCCAACCGGAGCGAGCAACACAGCGACGCGAATAGGCAGCTTCGACCCGCGCTCTGCAAGGCGTGGAAGCAGCGCCATTCGATACTGACCCATTTGCCAGGGACCCACGCGATCGGTGTCGATGATCCCAGGCCCAACGCAAACGCGTCGACACATGGATACGACGTTCTGCGTCTCCACTTGCGAGCAACACGTCCAAAGCTTCAGCCCCAGCGCCTCAAAACAGCTTTCAGGCAAGACATCTTCAAAACCTCCTAGCGCTCTGGGAATTGCGCTTGCGCTCGCTGAAGGGCACCCACACCCACACCCACACCACACCCCACACCCCACACCACACCCCACCCCACCCCACCCCCCACTCGAGAAGCCAATATTCTGAAATACCAACCCCCGGCAAGTGCTCAAGATGGCCAAGTTGTACTCAGCAGGCTGAGTTGGAAGGACTCCATAGATGGTGATGCACAGTACTGACAGGATCAACCAGGTTCTTACGGACAAAGAAATATAAGAAAGCAAAAAGAAGGAAGCAAAAAGGCGCTGGTAGAGGAACCTCTGGTGTCTTCATGGTCCGGTGTCTTCATGGAACCTCTGTGTGGCGCCCTGGTTTTCTGAGACTCCGCGCATCATCGTCGTCGGTGGCTTTCGGCGCCGCCAAGCGCCGCTTTGGCGCGGCTGGGCGCGGGACACAAAACGCGGAGCCGCGGCAACCGCCCCTTTGCAGGGCTCGTCTTTTTGGTTTCGAGAAGACCACTTGAAAGGGACTCAGTTGTTCAGTGACCCTGGAAAAAAAGGGCTTGGACCATTTTTAGTGGGGCAGCCACCAAAAAAAAAGGGAAAACGGGCGCCACTGAACAACTGAAAGGAAAACCAAAGGGAAAACCTCCCATAAAACGGTAGAACGGGCCCCTGGGTTGGTTGATTCACTTCTCGACTTTTAGTCCTCCTGAAAAAAATGTCGAAAACAAGTCCAAGCTTTGTGGTTACCACAACGGGCTTCCCAAAAGTATGAAGTCTGGAAACTCGGGAAGAGGCCATTTTTAGACGAGCAAGGATTTACTTCGGCAGTGCCAATTTGGAAAGCCAGGTGCAAGAATCGCAGCACCAAAACTAAAAAACCGACATGAAGACCAAGGCAATTTTGAAGGGTCCCCTATTTTTGGGAATACCCAAAGGTTACACAACTGGAGCATTGGTACTTGCTCCCACAATTCACTGGATTCCAGATAGCGGATTCCAAGTGTATCTGGGGCCTAAATACTAATTGGAACGGGGTGCAGGGGTGCTATAAAAACCAAGTTTTGTCATCACCATAGGAGTAAATTATCAGTAATTATCTACCTCCATTTGCTTAAGTTCCCTGGACAAATGTAAACATATTTCCAATAGTGAAAGACTGGGCTGTTCAAAATGGAGGATTCGCCACTATAGGAAAGCCACTACAAAGGGGACCGGATCCTTGCGCAACCCCAGGTAAGGATCTTGCGGATTACCTTTGAACAGCCCAGAAAGATGCCCTTGAACACCAACAGGCTAAGGCAAAAAAAACAGCCTTCTTCGCAAAACGGAAGCCTAGCCCTGCAGAACTCGAGGCGAGAGATTTGGGGCCGTGCAGTTTCTCTTGCCCGCGACCCGCCGATGGCTGGGATTGAGGGAACGGTCCAGACGTGAGATCTAAACACCATTCGAGTTTCGCGTTAAACAAAAGGTGCTGCAACACGTAAGACTCCCCTCTGAAAAAACCTGTCAAATCCCCTCAAAAAAAGAGGCCCAGCTCCGGTCAAAACCGGCAACATCTCTGCAGGGAGCCATGGTCCAAACTCTGTTTGCTTGGCCTATGGTCACGGATCCCTCAAGAGGAAACAGTAAAATGGATATGAGGAGCGGACGAAACCCTTTACTTGGCCTTAGTACTTTTTTTAACGTCATCGTTTTTGGGGGAGACCTCATCGTTTTACAGTGTTTTCGAACTTTGGCAGATCCGGCTCCAAAATCGCAACTTTCTAGCACAAGTCTAGTACGCGAAGTACACTTCCGCAGCTCCAGCTCGAAATTCGCAACTTTGTAGTACAAGTCTAGTACGCGAAGTACACTTCCGCAGCTCCAGCCCGAAAATTGCGAAATACAATTCCGCAGCTCCAGCTCGAAAAGCGAAACTTGGCAGGCAGTACAAGTCTAATACGCGAAGTACACTTCCGCATCTCCAGCTCGAAAATCGCAACTGTGCAGTACAAGTCTAGTACGCGAAGTACACTTCCGCATCTCCAGCTCAAAAATCACAACTTTGTCGTGCAAGTCTAGTACGCGAAGTACACTTCCGCAGCTCCAGCTCGAAAATCGCAACTTCGTAGTACAAGTCTAGTACGCGAAGTACACTTCCGCATCTGCAGCTCGAAAATCGCAACTTTGTAGTACAAGTCTAGTACGCGAAGTACACTTCCGCAGCTCCAGCTCGAAAATCGCAACTTTGTAGTACAAGTCTAGTACGCGAAGTACACTTCCGCAGCTCCAGCTCGAAAATCGCAACTTTGTAGTACAAGTCTAGTACGCGAAGTACACTTCCGCAGCTCCAGCTCGAAAATCGCAACTTTGTAGTACAAGTCTAGTACGCGAAGTACACTTCCGCATCTCCAGCTCGAAAATCGCAACTTTGTAGTACAAGTCTAGTACGCGAAGTACACTTCCGCAGCTCCAGCTCGAAAATCGCAACTTTGTAGTACAAGTCTAGTACGCGAAGTACACTTCCGCATCTCCAGCTCGAAAATCGCAACTTTGTAGTACAAGTCTAGTACGCGAAGTACACTTCCGCATCTCCAGCTCGAAACTCGCAACTTTGTAGTACAAGTCTAGTACGCGAAGTACACTTCCGCATCTCCAGCTCGATCATCGCAACTTTGTAGTACAAGTCTAGTACACGAAGTACACTTCCGCATCTCCAGCTCGAAAATCGCAACTTTGTAGTACAAGTCTAGTACGCGAAGTACACTTCCGCAGCTCCAGCTCGAAAATCGCAACTTTGTAGTACAAGTCTAGTACGCGAAGTACACTTCCGCATCTCCAGCTCGAAAATCGCAACTTTGTAGTACAAGTCTAGTACGCGAAGTACACTTCCGCATCTCCAGCTCGAAAATCGCAACTTTGTAGTACAAGTCTAGTACGCGAAGTACACTTCCGCATCTCCAGCTCGAAAATCGCAACTTTGTAATACAAGTCTAGTACGCGAAGTACACTTCCGCATCTCCAGCTCGCGCAACTTTGTAGTACAAGTCTAGTACCGAAGTACACTTCCGCATCTTCAGCTCGAAAATCGCAACTTTGTAGTACAAGTCTAGTACGCGAAGTACACTTCCGCAGCTCCAGCTCGAAAATCGCAACTTTGTAGTACAAGTCTAGTACGCGAAGTACACTTCCGCATCTCCAGCGAAGTACACTTCCGCATCTCCAGCTCGAAAATCGCAACTTTGTAGTACAAGTCTAGTACGCGAAGTACACTTTCCAGTCCAGCTCGAAACAAGCTCCAGCTCGAAATCGCAACTTTGTAGTACAAGTCTAGTACGCGAAGTACACTTCCGCAGCTCCAGCTCGAAAATCGCAACTTTGTAGTACAAGTCTAGTACGCGAAGTACACTTCCGCAGCTCCAGCTCGAAAATCGCAACTTTGTAGTACAAGTCTAGTACGCGAAGTACACTTCCGCATCTCCAGCTCCAGAGTCATCGCAACTTTGTAGTACAAGTCTAGTACGCGAAGTACACTTCCGCATCTTCAGCTCGAAAATCGCAACTTTGTAGTACAAGTCTAGTACGCGAAGTACACTTCCGCAGCTCCAGCTCGAAAATCGCAACTTTGTAGTACAAGTCTAGTACGCGAAGTACACTTCCGCATCTCCAGCTCGAAAATCGCAACTTTGTAGTACAAGTCTAGTACGCGAAGTACACTTCCGCATCTCCAGCTCGAAAATCGCAACTTTGTAGTACAAGTCTAGTACGCGAAGTACACTTCCGCATCTCCAGCTCGAAAATCGCAACTTTGTAGTACAAGTCTAGTACGCGAAGTACACTTCCGCAGCTCCAGCTCGAAAATCGCAACTTTGTAGTACAAGTCTAGTACGCGAAGTACACTTCCGCAGCTCCAGCTCGAAAATCGCAACTTTGTAGTACAAGTCTAGTACGCGAAGTACACTTCCGCAGCTCCAGCTCGAAAATCGCAACTTTGTAGTACAAGTCTAGTACGCGAAGTACACTTCCGCATCTCCAGCTCGAAAATCGCAACTTTGTAGTGCAAGTCTAGTACGCGAAGTACACTTCCGCTCTCCAGCTCGAAAATCGCAACTTTGTAGTACAAGTCTAGTACGCGAAGTACACTTCCGCAGCTCCAGCTCGAAATTCGCAACTTTGTAGTACAAGTCTAGTACGCGAAGAACACTTCCGCAGCTCCAGCTCGAAAATCGCAGCTTTGTAGTACAAGCCTAGGCTGTACGCGAAGTACACTTCCGCATCTCCAGCTCGAAAATCGCAACTTCTCAGTACAAGTGTCGTATTTACAGAGCCGTGTGTTCGTTAAGGGTCATCGTTTTTGGGGGAGACCTCATCGTTTTCCATGGTTTTGGGATGTGTTACTCAAAAGCGTGCCCCGTCTTGATAAAGTGGTCTACGCGTGTTTTGTCCGTGGCTCATATATTTAAGAGCCCTCCTACGAGATGACCATCCCTGTTAACCCCAAATAAAGGGATCTCCTGACCATGTGTGCAGGTGACACTTCATGTTATGCTCTCCAACGTTTCCAGTAGCCATGCACAAGCTCGAACATCTGAGGGTGACGTACCGCACTGGTTATTCCGCAAGTTGCTGTGAGTCATAACCAAAACCTGGTAATAAAATGGTCTACCCGGAACCAAGCAAAGAACAGAAGGGGGATATATGCAGCTATTTGTGGCAAGGGGATTGTCCCTTAACCTTCATCTGCCCAGGCTTTGAGCACGTGGCTGTGGCTTTCTATCGGAATCAAGTGCAACTCTGGCGCTTAAGGCCCATGTCTTTGGCCAAGCTGCGTGCAAAACCCTGAAAAACACCCACATGTCAACACGCAACGCGGGGGGAGCTTGTTCAACACGAACGACTACATGGGTGTATCTTGAAGGGAGTTGAACCTCCACATGGCCATGGGTCAAAATCCAAATCGTACCCCCAATGAACATCCCAATTGCCACTAAAATAGGTTCTAAAATGAGTGCACCTACCAAAATGGGATCCCATTGGTTTGACAACCACAGCCACATCTGGTTGTCCTTGCTTCCCTAAGCCATCGGACGTCTGGGTACTTCCCTTGGTCAGCTCTCGCAAGAAAAGATCGCGCCTAGTGAAAGGGATACCGGAGTGGCATTCGAATGCACCAGAGGTGAAGTCCTACATCCTGGACACATTCTTTCAGAGGACAAAGGCCAAGACCAGACAGAAAGTGGTTTGGAGGATGTTTACACGTAAAAAAAGACGGAAGCCTCGTAATTATATTTCATGAAATTGTAGTTGTGTGGGTTGGTTTACTCGTTTGCTTGCAAAAACTACCTTGGGGGTGATCACAACTGGATTGCTCCATCTTCTAGTCACCACTGGGTGTTGAATGGGCGCAATGGAAAAAATCAGAAAACTTACCAATCCCCTCACCTACTTGGACCCGAATCAAACACTACCAATCCCCTTTTGGGTTCCCTTTGGGAAAAAGAACCATGGGCAAGACACCCAAAAAAACTGGGACCCTCTGCGTCGCGAAGCGACGCAGTGGGCGTGGAAATTCCGAGCTACCGGCCGGAGCCCCGGGGCCCCGCGCCCTTCTGCGGCAGGTCCGCCTCCGCCTCGTAGAGCTCCATCGGAGGCCTAATGACGCTCGCCATCGCTTCGGGAATCCTCTCCAGGAATGACTCGGTGAAATTCGACGGGAACACTCTGCAGGGAATTTTACAGGGAAATTCTACAGACATTCGCCAAAAGGGTAAGTCTACAGGAACTGGGACATTGGGTAATTTTACAGGAGATGGCTGTGGTCAAAAATAGGATAACCCCCAAATGGGTTGCGGTAAATGGGAATATGGACCAAAACCTGCGGCTTGCCCTAGCTCTTAAATTTTGAGCCACAGCCAAATGGGAAGTTCGACCAACATCCGCCAGGGGAAGTGTACAGAAAGCTTGGTCAATTGCTTCACCAAGAAAGCTTGGTCATTTGTGGCAGAATTTCCTGTAGCTCTAGGAAAGGGGGGTGCACCAAGGCTTGCGAAGGCAAGGAAGCCTTGAGGAATTCTAGGGCTCGCACACGCCCCTTGTACCTACCGCTAAGGGGTTGTAAAGGTATATCCAGGAACTCCAACCCATTTCACGCAAAAAAGGACACCGAAAAGGCTAAAGCGTCTTTCCATGCAATCAAGTCTAAGCAGGTGTTTGGAAGGCTGGGGTATTATAACGGTTAAACAAGAATGGGGGTGTGCGATACGTTAAACCAAGTCTGGTCACTACAGGAACAGACTATTGTTTAGCCATTTGGACTGTATAAGGCTGGTTCTCAGGATCCCAAGGCGTACATACAACCATTGGTTTCTATTTCTATGTTGTTATACCGCTTTTTGCACTGCCGCGGTTCTCAGCATTGCCACCAACCTACCCGTATTGCGCCCCAACAAACGGCCCCGCCCTGTAGGAGACAGCCCAGTTTACCAAAAAGGTTTCTCAACAGGCAACCTCGGCAAGTCTCGCTTCTTCATTTTTGCCTTGCCACAGTTTGCACTTCAACTAGCACGATTAATTTTAACAATTATCATGTGAAGTGTAATTTGGCCAAGGGATCCAGAATCCTTGATAGATACCGCAATGGGCATTGTTCGACCTAGGCCGTCTAAAGCTGTCTAAAGTTTGATGATGTTTGATGTATTTCCTTGCTACCACTGAAGCCAGTATCACGATGATCACAGCTACGGTATTGGCACAAATTCATACAAGAGGGCTCCCTACATGTCGACCCTTAAGCATCACACCACGAGGAAACTGACACCGCAAGTGATCCAAAATGTGATGTTACAACTGGCACAAGCGCGTTCTTTTTCTTTGACTCTTGTACGAACTCAGGGCAAAACATTGGCAACCCACAGGGAAAAGGGACCCAAGGTAAATTCAAGGCACAGGAAATCTGCAGCCCGGGCAACACCCCTGGCTCTGGGCTAACTGCCTGTGGAATGTCCTGGTTTCTATGAGAAGGTCTCGATCCAAGGCTCAGAGCAAGCTTGCGGGGAAAAGAAGTGGGGAATCAAAGGAAGAACCAACATCTACCTGGACCCTCAAACTGAGCATGGGAATTCACCCCATAAATTTTGGGGCTATAAGCCTCAGGTAGTTTTCCGGCCCTGTGGCTTGAACAAACGGCTTGAAGCATCAAACCTGTCCCCTGCTGGAACTTCCTCTAAGTGGTTTTTACAGATGGGCATTCGGATTTGCCATCCACGTTTGAGCCCGCCAAAAACTGGGGCGAACTCTTCACATCTCTAACTCCAAGCCAGTGGCCCTGAAAAAAAAAGAAAGAAGGCCACACTCTTTTCTTGCGGCAGACTCAGGGGCTGCATTTCCCCAAATCAAAAGTTGATCAACTTACTGGTGTATTTTCCCTTGAACCGATCGATCCTCTGTTGGAGGCTCCAACAGAAAACCATGGAGGACTTGCTTGACGTTGGGTTAGGGGCAGCAAACATATCCCCATTTTTTTCCAGCATTCAAGCGATTTAAGTGGCTTTGGATTTCAACCACTAAACCACCATAAGGCCGAACATGGGGGAAACAATGTTTCCCAACAGCCATGAGGACACCCCGCGGCTTCAAAACCTCATCCCCCACTGGGGTTTCTGCGGGAAGCCGCCGACGCAGCCCTCGATTTTTCTGAGGTTCCGGCCGGGGGGGCTCCGGAGGAGGGGGCGGCTCATCCTGGCAGGCCATAAGGGCGAATCAATTAGACAGACTCCCACCGGAAGCTTCCAGTTGCTGAAGTATTTTTTCTTCCTTTTGGGTTTAAAGGCAATCTATCCCTACTGGAAACATGTTGTTCCCCGGATAGCTGAAAGCAATAGGGGAGAAAGTGATCTGGGAGATGGTGCAGTTGGTGCAAATGCTGTTAGAGTGTGCTGTTTGGGGAGCTGTTTGTGGTGCTGGTGACGGTGCGGGCGCATTGCTACGAGTTGACGGCAGGGTGCTGGGGGGGGTGCTGGTGCAGGTGCTGTTTTGGGATGCTGTTTGGGGTGCTGTTGGAGGAGTGCGGGCGCACAAAAAAGGAGCTGTGTTTTCCTTTTGGTTTTCCCTGCAAAAAAGAAAAGTGAAGGAGGGGTTTACCCCACACCCCCCATTTCAGTTTTTTTTACGCCTAGTGCTCAGTCACTGGACACAAGGACACCAAACAAACTGTTTCCAGCTGCGGCTACTTTTGATTGCTTTTTTTGTTTACAAGGAACGGAGACAGGACGTGTCTCCAAAACCACGTTTTTACAAGGAACAGAGACAGGACATGTCTCCAAAACCATCTTGACAGCTTGCTTTGGACCACGTCAACTCCGCGGCCCACCTCATCCTGGTCGAAGTGGCCTCGCGACCTACGGTCGAAGTGGCCCGGAGGGCTTAGCTAAGATGTCGGCTCGTGTTTTTTGGAGCCCCGGTTTGGCTGGGTTCTGAAGAGGAAACCAAAAGGCAAACCGAAACAGGGATCCTTACATTAAAAAAAAACAAAAAACAACCTCATTGCAACTTGCTTTCTGGTGTTTTCCCCTTTTCTAGGCTAACAAAAGATCATTTTCGCCTGGTAAGTGGAAAACCAAAATAACCCCCACAAAAGAAAAGAAACCACAAGGGGAAAGCGAATTCACCTCATTGCAACTTGCTTTCTGGTGGTTTGTCGTTCTTTTGGTGTGGAGGTTTCCCCTTTTGGTGTTGAAAAAAACGCCGGCCGGCGAAAATTTCCCCCACCCGCAAGCCGTCGTTCGTCGTTTTTCTGGGCCCTGCGAAAGGCGCTGGGCGCAACGAGGCGGGGTCTGAGGGGAGCGATCTGGCTCTTCGCAAGCGACGTTTGGGAGCGAAGTTCCTGGGGATTGGCTCAGTCAACAAACATGGATCTCAGATTTGGCGTCAACAGTCGAGAAAAAAACGTGGATCGAACATGGCACAAACTTTCCAACGAGCTCGTGAAACACTGTTGGGAAGGTTCTACTTGTCATTTGCTTTGAACGGGGATTTTCTTGTCAGAAAACGGGCACGCCGCATTGTGCGGATTTCGTGAAGGAACAACGAAAAGCAACGATGGCGAATCAACCTTCAGAAATGGGTGTGCTGCTTTTTTTGCAGTGGCTACATCAACCTGGGGATGCACTGCATCGGTTGCAACAAAGTAGACGCATGCAATGCCTGGTTGCTTGCAGCAAAGGGACCTGCTGCCCACTTCAGGCTTGACATGTCTGCGGGGTTCGGTACCCGTGTGATGGCACGAACCCGGCCACACGCAATGGATGGCGATATCCTCAGTGAACACCTGCGGTGTTCCCAAAGCGTGCTGCGCCTGCAGCTCTTCGCATGCTTTGTGCCTCTGAGCATCAGTCCGATGCCAAAGTTGATGCGTGGGAGCACTTGCTGCTTCAGAAAGGTGATAGAAGTGTACCTGCAATTGGTAGTTCGATGGTGGTGTTCGTTCCAGCTACCAACCTTGCCATCGAGGCGTGCATTGTGAACAAAGCCCTGTCTGCCTAAGAAAAAGGTTTCTTCAAAAAAAGAACGCACACCCAAATACCCTGTCTGCCCAAAAAAAGGGGTTCCTCCAAAATCACACACCCAAAAGGGAGTTCCTCAAAAATCACACACCCAAAAGGGGGTTCCTGAAAAATCACACCCCCAAACATAGTTGGTCATGTAAATGCAAACGCCGAAACTCGTTGGACCCTGAGGTCCGTTTCGACAGCTTGAGCTCCAGGGGAGGGACTGCAAACTTGGCAACATATCCATGTAGTTGATGCCAACTGTAGGGTCCATTTCCTCATTGAGACACACCCACATCACCACTGCCTTCCAGAAGATAGAATTCGGCACCCCTGTTCGTCCAAACAAGTACAAACAACGACAGCACGTACGCAAAACAGCCAGGGATCAAGCAAGCACAACACAACCAAACAAAACAAGCGCACAAACAACAAAACAACAAACAACCAAAGTTCCAACCAACCAAGCAAAAAACAAGGAACACAACCAATGACACGTGTCTAACACAAGCAAACATCAAGCAGGGATCCAATCAGTTTGAAGCAAATTCTCAATTTGCTGTACTGGAAGCTCTCAACTTGCTATCCTTGCTTGCCTAAAGGACCCTAAAGATTCACCTTTGGAGTCGTTCTTGTTTGAGTGGTCTGTCTGTTCTCAGAATAGGATCACTGGTCTGTCTAAGCCTGGCCTTTCTAAAACTTCCTCAGGTGGCTTGCAGCAAGGATATTCCGACCTGTTCCAACCTTTTCAGTTTCCTTTTCAGTTGTTTTGAACAACCTGAGTGCTGAACGAGCAGTCTCGTGACTACAAAAGCCAAGGGATCGTTCAAACTGTCTGAGAGCTGACTTGCGTATCTAAAACCAGGGTGTCGGTTTTGTCCGTCCAGAATTGCGAGTCAAGTCCCGTTCGTTCATCGCGTACGGTACAGATATGGGCATGGGTCAAAATCAAGCGGCCAGGGGGCCGCAGGTTTTAGCCCATGCTTCCAGTGCCCAGGGCAAGCCATGTCAGGTACCTATTTTCGACCCACAGCTATGAAAAGGTCAGGCAAGTGACTAGGCCTCAGATCGCCAACTCCTTTCAGTTCTTCAGTGACCCTGGAGAAAAAAGGGGACCCTTTTTTGGGGCTTGGACCATTCTAGTGGGGCAGCCACCAAAAAAACAGGGGAAAAAGGGACTCGGGGCCACTGAACAACTGAGTTACAGTAGTGACAGCCAAGGATTTTGGTTCTTGGTGGCCCCGGGGCTCTTCAGGTTGCAAGTGCAAAGCCTCCAATCGATGGAAGCTCCCAGGTCAGTAGACTTAGGCCTTGGGGCCGGGGTCCTGAGTCCTGAGCGGTTTTAAGGGAATGGCCTAGGGGATGTCAAGTGATTCCAATCCTTGGTATGCTAGAAAGAACGCAGTTCTTTGCAGGCCGCTCAAATGAACAGAAAAAAAAAAAAAAAAAAAAAAACATCCTGACTTCTTGAGTGCTGAGTGGATGGGCCCAAACAAACTTGTTGTGTGCCACTTAACTTGGTTGCTGTTGCCCCCTCTGCAAAAAGTTTAACTGTTGGGGGCTTAGTGGAAAACCCATGATTCCCCCAAAAGTTAAAGCCTAAAGATCCAACCCACTAGCAGTCAAGCTGAATGACCTTTCCAAAAGGCTTCACGTCCAGAAACTCAGGGAGTGAGCATCAGCCCACACAAATCCAGCTTCCTAGCCTACTGCTGCGAACCACGTGGACCCGCCGAGCTCTGGGTTGCCCTGCCCACCGAAGCCACCGCCCATGCGGCCCTCATCACGCGGGCTATCGTCCAGGCCTAACTCTTGCAGTCGGTCCATGGGGCCAGTCCTCCTACTTGTTGCTAGCGTGGTGTAGCTCGGTCAATCCAACGAGCAAGGTGGGTCTGTCTTGTTAGGGTCCCCGTCCTTTCTGCTTTCTTCTTTTTTTATTGGGGGGGGGGAGCGGAGGAGGGAGGGAGGGGCTTAATGGGCTTAATGGACATCTAAAGCACCACCAAAAGTGTGGGGGGTCGCATAAAAAGCCAAATCTACCCATAGGTCTGGATCGCTGGACCAGCGGTACGACCCCCAAAACCCCCCTGAAAGAGCAGCGAAGACGAACCCACAAGATCCAAAGAAGCCAACCAGCATAGCCTACTGCTTGCCATCTCTGGTTTTCAAGGCTTTTCCAAAGCTGCTGGATGCGAAATCTGCGAACCCCTGCGAAAAGTGACTAACTGTTGGTGGGTTTAATACGGAAAACCCAAGTTAGTTGGCAAACAGTTAAAGTCTGAACATCCAAGCAAAATGCACCAAAGGATTGGTGTTGGAGGGCGTTCGGAACATTTCCAGACAGCTTCCGAAAGTTCCGGAGGTTCCGGAAGTCGAGCGTGAAGTGCTTGGATTGCGCTTCCATTTGCTTTTCCGCCCCCGGCGAAACATCGAGAAAAAACAATTCCAGTAGTGAGCTCGATTCCCTTTAAACACCAACCAGTTGGAAAACAAATCATACTCTTAATCCCTTCAAACCCAACCAGTGGGAAAATACAACACATATTCATTTCAGCAAATGGAAGATGGGTCGCCAAGTGGTCCACCTCAGGGCTCCACAGGGGCGGGCTAGGGTCTCGCGGTAGAAATGCATCGGCTCGCGAGGAGTCTTGAGGGGTTCCGAGGTTCGGAGTGGTTTGGAGAAGGAGTCTCGGATTGAAGGATTCTAGGTTTTTTTTTGAGTGGTATCGGAGTGGCTTCGGAGTGATTTGGCGAGGCGTGGCGTTTCCGTCCTCCAGATTTGAGAGCTTAGAATAAGTTGGTACCCGATGTGTTTTTCCTTTTTGTCTATTTGAGCAGGGGAACCCTCTCAACCAAAAAGGGGGAGAGAAGGGCACTACTGGGGGACCTAGGGAGGTGTTTCGGAGTGGTTTGGAAAAGGATTCATTTTGGAATCTGCTGGGTCGGCACCCGGTCACCTGGGCTCATTGTTTGGACCTCTGCCCCTGGAAAAGGGGGGGAGGCTGGAGGGGTGACCGTCATGACTCGAGGTTCCAGGCGTAGTCATATTCACCGATGCTGCAGGCATTTAGAAGGGCGGATATCTGCACCCTACAGTACGGCAAGGGGATTATCCCTTGCTACCCTTCATCTAGCTGGCTCCACGTGGGCTTCAAGCTGAGCTTCCTTTTGAAGGATTGAACACACGAGAGGCCACCTCATGAAAAATATCACCCCAAAAGGCGCATCACTTCTTCCTGGCACGAAAGGCGATGCTCAAACCAAAGGGGAAATATAGGTGTGTCTTTTCCTAAGGTCGCCCCAACCAAAATGGCCAGGACCCCCCCAATGGCTGGCAAATGCTTTGTGCAACGACTTCCCAATGGCTGTTTTGGGGTTATTTGCCAGCCATTGGGGGTGCTGGGGCGGGGTTCTCCTTTTCGTGTCCCTTTCCCTCCCACCAGCAAGGAGATACAAAATCCAAAATATTGAAGCTAGCCCTAGAGTAGGTGTAAATCGCAAGTGTTGCTCAGGAAGTGAGACTGGGACTACTCATTGGTCCCTCTGACAAAAAAAACACGGCGAACCAGCTCGAGCAAGGATCAATCTGCCTGACCAGCTTGCAAGGCAAAGGGGTGGCTGTGCTTCCAATTGCTTAAGAATATGTTATATTTGCCCTTGTAGGTTTTAAAGGGAATCTATCACTGCTGTGTTTTTTCCCCCAGGCGCTTAAGCAACTGGAAATTGTGGATGAAATGTGGATGGGCAAAATCCTGCAATGTCTTGCACCCATTTGGCAAGTGGCTTTTTTAGGGTTGCATCCCATCTGGTGGAAACAAATCCACCACATGAGCCACGTGCTCAAAACCCCGGGTAGATGAAGGTTAGTAAGATGGAAAGAAGCTACCCCTAGAACCAATTCCAAAAAATGAACTAGCCCCAGCGAGAGCCTTGCCTTGGCTCTGCCCGGTCGCCATGGGTCTGCCGTTCTGTGCCTCAAAGCACAAAAGCCCAAGCCGTTCCCGCGTTGGGCCATGGAAACAAAAACACATGTTTATTATAAACATGTGTAAACACCCGAGTCACAATCAAAACTCGGCTGCCCTGGCTACATGGGGCCGGCAAGGTGGGCAAACTTGCAAGCAGGCAAGCAGGCCAAGTCAGAAACCGACCCAACAGCGAGACAAGGAACATCAAATTAAACAAACAAAACACAACAACAAATGTAACAGACGAACAAGCAAACAAACAAAAACACACCAACAAACAAACAACAACGAACAACCAACCAACTCACCAACCCACCAGCCCACAAACCCACTAACCCACCAACCCACCCACCCACCCTTCCACTCACCCACCAACCCTTCCACTCACCCACCCACCCACCCACCCACCCACCGACCGACCAACCAACCAACCAACTAACCAAACACCAACACACAAAAACACAAACACACAAACACAAAAACAAACAAACACAAGCACACAAGCACACAAGCACACAAGCACACAAGCACACAAGCAAACAAGCACACAAGCAAGCAAGCAAGCAAGCAAGCAAGCAAGCAAGCAAGCAAGCCAGCCAGCCAGCCAGCCAGCCAGCCAGCCAGCCAGCCAGCCAGCCAGCCAGCCAGCCAGCCAGCCAGCCAGCCAGCCAGCCAGCCAGCCCAGCCAGCCAGCCAGCCAGCCAGCCAGCCAGCCAGCCAGCCAGCCAGCCAGCCAGCCAGCCAGCCAGCCAGCCAGCCAGCCAGCCAGCCAGCAAGCAAGCAAGCAAGCAAGCAAGCAAGCAAGCAAGCAAGCAAGCAAGCCACCACACACACATACAACAACTACAATAGCCTGGGTTTGACGGCAAAAGCAAGAGCAAGCAACCAAACTGACGCTAGGGATTGGCCCAAAAAGGCCAAAACTGTCTATTTACCACTAAGATGGAACCCACAAAGTGACTAAAGTCGGAGAACTCAGTGAGGAATCTGAGGTCCCAAAAAAAGTGAACGTCTTTGCAAGATGAGGGTCCTCCGAACCAAACTCAAGAGTCATGCTACTGGTTGGCGGCAATTTTACAAATCGAGTGGGTGTGGGTGTGGGTGTGGGGCTGGGGACTTCTTGGGCCGCTCCTCAAAAACTTCTTTCGTTGGAGTCTTCGGAGATGCGCTAGGCGCATTAGGCATCGGATTGGACAACACAAAGTGTGAGCTTTGTATTTACCAAAGTGGTCTTCTTAAAAAAAAGTCCTGGAATGCAGGAAAGGTGTTTTTTCTCTCATCTGAGGAAACACCGTAGAATCGCCCCATGATGATATCCCCATTCTGATCGTCGCTTGAAACACGGCTTGATGTCCGTCTGGAAATGGTGGTGGAACCCATCCAATCTTGATTCAAACTGAAAACAAACGAAAAGCCTTATCACTAAGGAAGACACCAAAAGACACAAAGGACAAAGCGCACTCAGGAAGACAGGAGGAAGACACAAAAGAGACAAAGAACAACAGAAAGTGCTTGCAGAACGTACCAAAGAGATTCACCCAGCCGGGACTTCCGACGAAGCACCCCGGCCCGTGCCAAAAAAATTCCTTGCCTCCTGCAGGCGCTCGAGTTTCCGAAGGTGGGCGGCGTAATGATCCTGGCCCAAGAGCTCCAGGTACGTGGGTGGGTGGGTGTGTGCGTGCGTGGGTGTGGCCCTAAACATGGCCGCGGTGTCCTCTTGGCTCCATTTCGTGAACCTCTCCCCGAAAGTTTTTACCCAAAGCAGACCGCTGGGATCTGGCTCATCACCATACAGAAGAACCAAACCTGAGCTGGTGACTTCTCCCTGCACTTGGCGAACCCCAATTCCTTGCGGCTGGTGTGAATCAGTTTTAGCTGTTGATGATAAATATGGCTGTGGGTCAAATATGCCTCCAAAATGGAACCCTGGTGAAGGATTAAAACCTGCGGTCCATATCCACGTGGTTTAATTTTGACCCGTAGCCACATTGAGCGCTTGCAACAGCAAGTGATCCATGATCTGCCTGGGAGTCTTTAGCTTCCTTCCTTCCTGCATTACGCTTTGCCACGCTCCGTCTCTCGCCCTTTGGGGACCAGTTTGGCATATCTCCAACGCACTTGTCCACAGAACAGTGACACTAGATTTGGCGCCCCTTCCAAACCATGTTCCTTAAACATGTGGCGCCCTAGATTTCTAGATTTCTTGGCCCATATCTAGGCAACTCCAAAAACAATACACTCGAATTGCATTTCACATTTGCTCTAAAAGATAACACACTCTTGGAGGAGACCCCAAAGGTAGTCTGAAAGCCTGGCCACCACAACCCCTTGGTCGGATCAAGCATGTCACGTGCCGCATACTTCTGCTTCATCTCCTGTGCGTGCGCGAGCTTGCACGAGTTCCAAGCGAGGTCGATTGGCGTTCTCGCTGCCACTCGGACACCCATATCTACTCAGCTGCCCTCTCATCCGTACTTCGGATTGGTGGTTTGGAGGTTAGGGGTGGTTCCGACTTGCCCTGTACAAGAGCCAGGGGGTGAAACTCCCAGCCCCCCAATCCAAAGCACCGACCAAGCATTGCCACATTTACCGGTCATGCGCAGTTCCTTACAACCTGGGAAAAAAAACAAGAAAACGCTTGGGCAAATGGATGCGGCACTTGCAAACGTTCGCCCCAAAATGGAGGCATGGGTTATGAGCCATGGCCATATGGAAAAGGGTTGCCCTTCGATGAGTTGGGTCACCTCTCCCCATAGTAAGCAAGCGCATCGCTGAATTTTGGGACCCGGGACCCGAGTTAGAAGCCGATCTGGCAACGTGCCACTCCGCTCCAAAAGTGGGACATCGAAAGAGAGAGCGAGAGAGAGCCGAATTCATATGGCCATGGGGCTCCATTTTGGGGTGGATGAACCTCCATTTGACACCTATTTTGATGTTCAAGGGGTACAGGGTTTTGACAACCACAGCCCCATTTGGGCATGTAGGCCAAGAGTTGATCCGGCCGGTGGCTTCTGACTCTTCACTGCCAATGCGCTTGGAACTTGAAGGACGCTCACACCGAGGAAAAACCCACGGACTCAGTCCCGCGCGACCCGGGAGTCGAGTGACCAAACCCCCTGTGGATTTCCTACTCCCACCCACAACTCCTAGCGCAAGTTTTCTGAGATGCCACACGCAACTGGTTGCAAGACGTCTCTCAGTTGTTCAGTGACCCTGGGAAAAAAGGGAACCCTTTTTTGGGAAGACCATTTTAGTGGGGCAGCCACCCAAAAAGAAGGAAAAAGGGGGCCACTGAACAACTGAGGTATGCCCATAGATTTACACCCTGCCGCATTCGTGCTTAAGCTGGGAAGTTGGGGAGAGCATGAAATGATCAAAGGCCATCCAACGGGTGGCTTACTTTTGGAAACCCCAACTTTGAAGCAAGCACAAAAAGGGCAAGAAGTCTGCCAACAATGTTTGGTTTGTCTTGTTTTAAGGGAACTCTCCAAAGGGTCTGAATCATAAAATCCACTTCACTTGTATCCACATGCCGGGAAGCTTCATCAGGGGTGCCTTGGGGTTTCGCAGAGCAGGTTTGTGTTTCTCTGGATACCTGAGGTTTCCTTCGAGATCCGAGGAAGGAACCCAACCAAAACCACCTGGAGTCTCCTTGTGACCCTGTGTTCCCGACCCCAAGCCCCCAGACATCTTTTCATCCAACCTGTCACCGGCCTATGCCCTGCCACGTCAAGCCCAGGCATCAAGTTGCTTCGTTTGGGCCACGGATCAGTTTACACCAGTGCGAAAGCAGATGGAGCAGATGGCACAATTCCATGCAGGTGTGCCCCCCCCCCCCCCCCAAATTGGTGGCTTTCCGTTTGGTTTCCCTTTAAACCCACCAAAGCGGGTACCCTCAAAATAAGACGCACCGCTTTTTGCACGTAAAGCGAATGACGAAACGAGCCTAATGGAATCGTGCTATGTATTTTCAACAGGCATCGCCGAGAGAGCCTTTTGCAAACATGAGAAAGACTTGAAAAACCTCCAGCCTTGCAGATGGTGATGAGGTATCTGACGCACTCGATGTCATTCGGGTGCGACTTGTGGATATCCTGACAGCTTTCAGGTGATGGCCTACGTGTTGAAATTTGGTTTTCATAGGCGGCCTTGAGCAATTTTCGTTGAGAACGAATGGATGCCACTCGTTTTCAGGTTGGTTTCAATCATATAGTGCCATCTATATTCTCAAAAGGCCACAAGGGCTGGCGGTACCTTGCGCGACTGTTGATGTTGAAACGTAAGTCTGCGACGTAACTTTAACTCGGTTGCTTTCTGCTCCCCTGCTAAAAGTTTAACTTTTAGTGGCTTAATGGAAAACCTATTAGTTGGCAACAAGCTAAAGTCCTAACATGCATGCAACATGCACCAAAGTTAAATTGAATCTGAGCTTGTTGACTATCAGCTGCTTTTCGTGTCATCCATGCCTGGCCTATCCCTGCTTTGCTGTTCCTCCGAAGATCTGAAAAAACCCGACACCATGACCAGCAACCGACAGAAAAGAGGAAAAAAACTCAAGACTGAGCAATCAGCATGCAAAGCAAACGGGGGACCACCCAAACCGTGTTGTCCAGGGTTGTTGGAAATGGAATCCACTTCTGTGATAATTACGACACAAAGAGCCTCCCAAAGACTACCCCCCCAAAAAAACAGGGGACATTCCCAAAAGTACCACAGAAGTGCTTGGGTTTCTCCCCGAGTGATCCACCACCACCCTGGTGTTCGATGCGTTCGATCCCAAAGCTTTAAACTGAGGTCAAGGATGGTAGATGGTGCCTTTTTCAGGGGACCCCAACACTGGTGCGTTTGCGGTTGGTTTGCCTTCAAAACCACCAAACAAGGGGTACCATAAAAAAAGAGCATTGCTTGTTTGGGGTTCATCAACCTTTGGCATGCTGCTGCCATGAAAGCACATAGCACACTATACTAATCGCGGGGCTTCGCGGAGTGCCTTCGCGGACCTTTTGGGAGTTCCCAAAAGGAGCTAAAACCCATCCTCCGAGGAAAACACACCAAAATCCTTTCAAAGGAAACACACCCAAATTTACCTTTAACAGGGTCACCCATTCCGCAAACTTTACATGTCCAGCACCTGAAACAAGGGATGCCACAAACAAAGGACCTACATAGCGAGATCATTTCATCCCCGGAGCTCGCCATACAATGGACAGACCCGACATTAGCCTGAACCGTAGGTGAAAGGTCCAACCAAGTCTGGGCTGTCCTCAGATCCCCCACTAAAAGCTTAACTTTTGGTGAGCCAAATGCAAAACCACTAAAAACTAAAAACTAAAAAGCTAAAAAGCTAAGGAACCGGATGGCTGGGAGCCACCAAGAAATAGCATAGGCCCCCTTGTCCGCGGGACATGTCCCCAGCCCCGGAACCTGGAGCCCTGACATCTGCTGCAACAAAAATGGCCAGCCCCACTCAAAACCTCAATCAAATCTCACATCATCATCTTATAAAACTCCACTTTGAGCAAGGAAACTCAGCAATTGTTTCTAATCTTCCAAGGGAAAACGGGCTATACATGGAGATCTGACTCCAGGGTTGAACTTTTCTCCAGCGGATTGGAAGGAACAAACACCAAAACGCGGGCGCTTCACCTCATAGAGCTTCAGCGCGGCAGGATAGGCACCTGAGCCGAGCGCTCGAGTCGAGGGTGTCTCTCACTTTGAGTCGAGTGGATGGTCCCAAAAAGAGGAAACCAAAGCTTTTTTGTGTACCGCTCACCATTTTTGTTCTGCTGTCTATTTTAGTAGGGGAATCCTCCCCCAAAAAAGGGTAAAAGGGTACTACTGGGAGACCTAGAAACGGTCCAAGACCAAACAGTGACTGAAGTTCAGGAACTCTGGAAGTGAGGTTTTGATTTCTGAAAACCCGAAAAAAAACTGCTTCGGGTTTCCATTTGGTGTTCCATTTCGCAACCTAAAAAAATGGTACCCGCAAAAAAGACAGACCCATTTTGAGGCGAACCTGGTGCAACCGGAAGGGTTTTCGGAAACATCCGAATTCTCGCGATTGGCAAATTGAAACTCGCGGAAACGGTCCTCCAAATGGATTGACCAAACACATCCAAAGGAGTCACTCTTTTTCACTTTGTAAGGGAAACTCACTGCGAAAAGGAGAAAGGGCCCTCCTTAAATCCTGAGATGGAGCAATTTCCAGTTTGTTTGCCACTGAAATGGCTTTCCTGAAAAGCGTCAAGTCTAGAAACTTAGCTTGGCAGTAACCGCCCCTTGGCAACAAGTGTGCATTTTGTCTTGCTGGTGCTCAGAGAATCTGGGAATGAACCCAGGGGTCCCCTGAAGCAAACGTCCCCTGAAGCAAACCCCACGGGGGATGGTTTACAGGGGTCATTCCATTTCTCATTCCCTGCCTACACCCGCAAGCTTTTCTGGGTCCAATACGGAAAATCCGACCGGTTTAACGGTTTCACCCAAAAAGCTTTGAGATCCGTTACCAACTAACCACAAAAGGGCAAATGGCTTGAAGGTCTCCTGTTGCTGTCCCGAATGCTTAGGGACTGGTGGCGGCCCATTCCGCAGAAAGAGCTCACGCTTCCCAGATCTATCCCTGGGGTCACCTGGTGATTGTTCCACCCGGAGATGCGATTGGATTGGCGTATCTCAAGAAGAAAAAAGGGCCGGCCGGGCCTTCTTAGATGTCCCCAAATCACCAGAGGTGATGACCCCAGAGGTGATGACCCTAAAGTTGGTGATTTCTAGAGACTAGGCTGGAATTAGGACCCCAGCAAAAAAACATCTGTTTTGCCTGGTTAGTGGAAAACAAAGGGAACCCCAAAAGAGCAAAAAAGCAAAAAGGGGAGCTAATTCTGGGGAAGGAGAGTGCTTGTATGTTTGAATTTCCAGAGGGTGACTGGAACTCTCCACATGGCCCGTTGCAATCTACCGGTGGCTTCCGTGAACTGCCACTGTGGGAGTTCCCAACAAAGGGACATGGAGGAAAGAAACCTTGCACATTCCCCTATCTTGGTTTGGTCCACTGTTCTTGAGAGGGACTCTTGCCATCTACTTTGATCCTAATGTAGGCAAACCCTTCAACTTGCTGGTGCGATAGGTAGGGAATGAGGGAATGCTCGGAAGGGGCTTCCCTTAAAGGAAACTAGGCTGTCCAAACTGATCCCCCGCTAACAGTTTTACTTACTTTCAATGGGCTATATGGAAAACACAAACTAAACACTAAAAGCTAAAACGCTAAGGAACCGGATGGCTGGGAGCCATCAAGGAAACCACGAAAAAATGTTTATAGGGGGCATTCCAACTCATTTCCTGCCTATCGCGCCAGCAACACGCAAGTGAGCCATAATGAAACCTGGTATCAACATGGTCTACCCAGAACCATGCTTCAAGAACTTAGAAGGCGGATATCCGCAGCTATTTGTGGCAAGGGGATTCTCCCTTACTAACCTGCATCTCCCCGGGTTTTGATTGTCTTCCATTTGGCTAAGACCCGTGCAAGGAATAACAATATTTCGAGTAGTGATCAATTCCTTTTAAAACCAACAAGGGAAAATAATAAATATTCTTAAGCAAATGTTCAGTTGTGGCTCCGGCGCTTCGCCTGCGGCAAAAAAAAAGCCGAGGCCGCACGCCCATGCGCCGGTAGCAGGAGGCCACCATAAGCCTCCACTTCACCTCTCAACCGGAGCCGAGCGAGCAGCCGGCCGTTGGCTGGGCTGGGAAAGGGGCGGCCGGGGTTTGGGAGGGGTCGATTTCTCAAACACAGCCCTAAACATAGGTGTCCTTTTCGGGGAAATTGATGGCCCTGGTAGATGATTGAACCACCAGGTAAACGAGGGCCATGTATTTTTCGACAAAAACAACCAAAAAGGTCACCTATGCCCCTAAACACACCCCTACTGTGGATGGACGAAATCCTGCACCACTTTGAAACCATGAGAAACCATTGTTTGTTGGTATTTACAGGATAATCAACATTCCAGGGTTTCTTAGGTGGTGCAGGACTTCGTCCATCAACAGTATCTCTTTGGGCTGTGAGATGAGTAGAATAAAGCCAAAGGGAAACACTATGAACACGACTCGAGGGGTTGATTCCTTGTCCATTCTTTTCAGATTGCTCGTCCCTTCCACTTGTTTGTCTGCCATCAAAACTAGGCACAGCAGCATCGGCCGATCCCCGAACTGAACACTGGAACTGGAAGAAAAAGCAAGAACTAGGTCCTCCAGTAGAGAGGTTAGAATATGGCTACCCTTTTCTGTAGTCTATTGTAGTGGGAGAACCCTCCCCCCAAAAAGGGTAAAAGGCCACTACTGGGGGACCTAGAAGAAAATCGGAGGGACCCCTGCAAGACCGCGAGCTGACTCTCGCTACCAGGTGATGTTCTACCTTTCCTTTGCTCAATGGACGTTTCAATCGTAGGGAACCCTCTTGGATAACTTTGAAGGGCTGGTTCACCCATGTTCTCCTCAAAGCAATGGGGTAGACTACTGAACATATTGCCAGCAACTCATACGTATGAGCCACGTTTATTTTTCATGATGTCCACCTTTCAAATGCTGTATGTAATGGTGAACACTTGCTTACATGATTCATTGTCATGCTTCCCCTCAAATGAACCTCCATACTAGTTGTCCCAACTCCTTACGAAGAGGTTGATGACCATCCCTGATGTGCTCAAGTAAAGGGGTTGCTTGATCATTTCACATGAGGAGCCCCCACAAAATGTGTGTGTCTCAAATGCCGGGTGGATGCCCATGTTGCTTTTAAACAAAAACTTGGCATCCTTTTTTGGTTGGTTGACTGTAAAGTGTAAAGGAATCGGAACCCAAAATCCGCCAAAAAAAGTCTTAAAAAGGGCACCACTGGGCAACTGGGTGGATTTCTTTTAGACCCTGATTTGTGGAAAAAAAGGGAACCTGCCCAAAAAAAGTTAGCATTCCACCGGACAACTCCATGTGTTTGCCTCAAATACCCAGTGGATTTTCATGGGAAAAAGGGATTGGCATCCTTTTTGGGTTGGTTGATCTTTCAAGGGGAACCCTTCCCAAAAAGTTGAAAAAAGGAAGCAATTCACTGGGCAACTCCACGTGTTTGCCTCAAATGCCCAGAAGAAAAAAAAAGAAGGAAAACTGGGGCAGCACCGGTTGCAGCTGAGTTGTGGCCAAGCGCTTCCTCGCCTCGTTGGGCTCAATCTGCGAAGCCCGGGAGAAGAAGGGGATGGCAGCCTCGTACCTCGATCGCAGGCTCCGTTTCTTGTTGGTTACGCTGATGGAACATAAGCCATAAACCATGCTAGGCTTAATGGGCCAAATGGAATCCGCTTTACTTGAGAGGGACTCTTGCCGTCTACGTTGATCCTAATGTAGACAAACCCTTCAACTCGCTGGTCAGTAGGGAATGAGGGAATGAACCGGAAGGGGATTCCCTTGAAGGAAACTAGGCTGTCCGTTTTCTGATCCCCCGCGAAAAGTGACTAACTTTTAGTGGGCCAAATACGGAAAACCAACCACTAAACACTAAAAAGCAAAGAAGCTAAGGAACCGGATGGCTGGGAGCCACCAAGCATGGCTTGTGGGTATTTGCAGGGGAATTGCAAGGGTTCTAAAAATATCCCACCTGGATTACTGCAAAGATTGCACTAAACTGTTGGCGAGCCATCCAGGAATCGTATGTGCTAACCGACTGTTACTCACTATATCCTCAAGGTGGGTTCCTCCTGCTCCGGTCGAACAAGTCATGTCTTGCACGTAAAAACATGTCTCAGTGTCCGATGTTGAGGGAGGTGGGAACGAAAGCAAAGCAAGCAAACAACTGGCACTGCTTGTGGACGGTGACACAGGGGCATGGACTGTATGGTGATTCGGCAAAAAACCAACATAACAGTTCTAGGCTGTCCTCAGATCTCCCGCTAAAGTTTAACTTTTGGCGGGCTAAATGGAAAACCCCCCCACTAAACACTAAACATCTAAAAAGCTAAGGGGATGGCTGGGAGCCACCAAGTAATAGTTTAGGCCCGAGCCCTCTCACGATGCAGGATTGCTAGGAGTGCTTTCGTGACTTCGCACATTGAAACTCTGACCTCCGCATTTCTTGTCGCTGTCAACTTCGGAAGGGCCACATCAGTCAAAGAAATCCCCTAAAAAATTAAAACGCATGCCATTTTGACCCAGGATTAACAAACCCGTCCCATTATTATGAAAGGGGACACCCCCTATTAATCAACCAGGGGTTTATTCATCCAAGGTTACATAAGGAACACCACTCCTGGTCAGTAAGGTCTCATCCGACTAATCCGAAGATAGTATTTTGTCACTACAGGATGGTTTGGCAGGGCACCACAAGAGAGGCGGGTGAACGGAAGCTAGCCTAGCAAGCCCAAGGACATGTACGACTTTGGAGTTCCTAAGATATTAAGACTCGCAATCCTCAATAAACCTCTAGAAATGTCTAGAAGGACAGATTTCCCAGCTGCAAACATGTGGATGAGATTATGGGAATACGCTCGTGGTGGGGAAGGGACAGTCAAAATTCGAGCCCTGGTTGGGGGGGGGGTGGTGCCCAGGCAAGGATTTGTTCTTGAGAATCAGGCTTTGTAGAGACCCCCCGCCCAATCCCTGATAAAATCAGGCATCGTGGGAAACTCCAAAAGCAGCTAAAAGTTCGAGAACTCCCGCTAGCACAGCTAGCTTTCGTGATAAGCCCACATCAGGTAACCTTGGTGATACGCCCACATCAGGTAACCATGGTAAGGCCACGTTAATCCGAAGTTCACATTCTGAGTCTCCGGGCATTTCCTGCTTCACGTAGTAGATGCCTAACCAGGTGATGACGTTCATGTCCACAGGCCAGTACCTGGAGGGAATGCCATTTCTTCGCGTAGCTCCTTGTCTCTCCAAAACCAAACTGGCCAACTCAGAAGGATTCTTTTCACGCAAGGCAACTCAGTACGGTCCGTCAGTGTGATAGTTATTCACGGACAGAAGGGTAACAGGAACGGCATTTCTGGGCGTTTCAAAAAGAACCCGCTCTTTAAAGGGGATCCCTTTATTAGGGAACACCCAAGACACGTTCCGGGTGTGGACAAGTTTGGCATGCGCCCCCAAAAGGAACCTCCGTAGGTCTCAAGGTGCCAAGCAAAGAATGTGTGATGATCGCCATGATCTTTTCAATCCAGCATGGATGCCGAAATAACGCGTGGGTCTCTCTCAAAATTGCTGGGACCCCCAAAAATGGATTCGATTTCTTAGCGACTTCCCTTCAACACCACACAAAAAGGGGGTAACCTCAAAAAAACATCTGGCCAACTTGCCCTTACCTGAAGAACGAGAAATCAAATATGCCACAAGGGCGTTCATGGGTGTCGCTCGTAAACCATGTCTCTGTGAGATTCATCACGTCAGCTGGAAGACTCATGGGCCCAAGCGGCTCTCCTTGAACGCCTCTGAGTTGGAAAAAAGGTAATCCTTGCCTCATTTAACATATGACCCTTCCCGTGAAGTGTAGCAACAGCCATTTGAAGCCCCGAACCATGGAAACACAATGGGGGGGGGTATGGGTTGGACTTGCCTAATTGAAGATTGCCTTTTCTAGATTCAGTATTGCCAAGACTTTCTCATGTCGCTCGCACGTAAAATAGAACCCCCAAATCTGTGTTTCCAAGAGAAAAACAAACTGGCCAATACCTTACAAACACCCACTAATAAAAGGAATCGGTATCTCTTGTGGACTTCTGCTTTTGTGTGACTCTTTGGCCTTGCTTTGTTTACAGGGTTCTATCTTAACACATACCTAGAGATTCGTTGCGGCAGAAATTTATGCCGCAATTCAAAAAAGGCGCCTTTTTGGATTTGAGGCATTTCTTCCTGATTTGCGGCGTTTTTTTAAGAATTGCGGCAGAACGTGCTTTCAGTTTTTTCTACCCCCCCAATTTGCGGCGGAAATCGGCGGGAATGCGGCGGAAATCGGCGGGAATGCGGCGGAAATTCCCGGAAAGCAAACAGTGTTGCGGCGTTTTTGTTTTATCGCCAGGATATGGACCGCTGGTTTTTAGTCCATGTTTCCATTTGCCAGGGCAAGCCATGTTGGGGATACCTCAATTTGGCCCCACAGCTTCTTGTAATCTTTTGGGAATGGCAGATCCCTATATTTGCAACCTTTCCGGACCCTCAAACTACCCATGAAAAAAAAGGATTCACCAAACAAACAACCCGGAAATTTGAGGGTCCAGGTAGTTTGTTGTCCCAGAAGTCTCCAAAACTCGTTCATATTCACAGATTCCGGATAGGAAAGTAACACGTGAAACACCATCTGCCTGGAAAGGCATTTGGCCATTATCTTTTGGACATCGTTTTTCCGCACGGTCACTTGCTTCTGGCCGGCCATATACATCCCGTATTTGTTGTTGTTGACGAGCGCCGTAAATGACGCGTATTGCCATACGCCCAAGCGGTATGGACAGGCAAAACAACGGGCACATATATGGCCATGGGGCAGAACCTATGGCGATCCCATTTTTGGGGTGGACGAATCCATTTGCCACCCATTTTGATGTTCACCAGGCTGGTGAACATCAAAACCAGGGGTTTCCAGGGTTTTGACCCGTGGCCATATGTGTTTCCAGGTGAACCGATTATCAGGTGTACCCCACGCAAAGCTTTGGATCCAATCTCTATGAAGCCAACCCGCTCTGCGCGCCAAGCGTAGAGCAATCGTCGACTGAGTGTCTTTCTGAGTTGGACGTTAGCAACTTTTTGGGTTTGGACCATTTTACTGGCAATCAACAAACTTGAACTTGTGTTGGCCAATCTACTCGATCGGAAGTCAGACTTACTTCGAATCCAGGTCTCCAATTGTATTGTAAGATGTTTACCCCCAGAAGCTTAATCACATAGCCACTATAAGGGTATGTACCCCGTTTCGCGGTTAGTGGTTTGGGGGTAGTGCAAACCATATTAGATGTAAACAAAGGCCTCTTCTGAACCAAGAAGACATTGGAGCGTGCTACCCCCGAAATATTTTTCAGCACCCTTTCGAGAACCCCTGTTCACAAAACGTTTCTTGCGCAGAGGGTCCTTTTTTTCCTCTTAATGCGGAGAACAGCTCCTTACTCTGGATTCCTTGCTGTGAAGTTGGAGTGAAAACATCGATGTTGGCCCTTGGCTGTTTCCTGGCACTTGTTCCCTTTGTGCTTTCCTCTGCATGATTTGTCTTCAATCCTTACCGGTTTCCTCAATATCCACCATCTTTGTGTGGCCCTTTTGGGTGAAGCTGCTTGCCCTTGTCGCTTTCTCAGCCCTATCCGGTCAGTTTGGTCAATCTTGAACCCCGTTTCATCGTTGGGGTCGCTCTTGTAGAAAATTATTTCCTATTGAATATCCTGGGACTGTTGTGGGGTTCGCCACTATGGACAATTGTTTTCCCGATGAAAATACGGGCAACAGAAAGACGAGCAATGCCTTTGCCTTCACTTTTTAAAGGGTGGCTTATCCAGGCCCTTCCCAGCTCAGAGGCCAACTGCCAGAGAGATCTGGGATTTCCTGTTTTGCAAACGGTCCCCAAGCCAACATGTTTATGCGTAGAAAAAAATATGTTTTCCCTGATAAGCAAACAAAGAAACAAAGAGGTTGCCCCCACAAGAGCCCCTAATCCTTCTTAGTCTGACTGTTTGGGGGTCCTCTCTTGTGGCAAGCTGTTTTGGCGAGGTGGTGAAGTGTCTTAGCCTTTTAGTTTCTGAAGGATGGCATATCTCAGCAGATCTGGTACATCTCATGACGGTTGTCTCCGGAGTTGCAGGCCATTTTACATTTTTGCTTATTGTGGTTTAGTGGGAAATCCCCACGCAACTGCCAAAGTTTATTTGTTGCTCCCCTTCCAATGTGCTGCGAGGGAGCGGAAGACGTTGCCGGAATCGTTCTTAGATGTGAGGTCCCACAATGCTTTCAAGCTCGGCCCCACAGCTCTGGCGCCGCGGAGGGTGTGAGAGACTGGACGAAATCCTGCACCGCACCGCTTTGAAACCAAGGGATTCCACTGTTTGTTGTTTTTTGGCAGGGGAGCTGATTATCATTCCAGGATTCTTAGGTGCGAAATGGATTTCGTCCATCCACGGCAATGCTCAGGAGTCCGGAACTTTTGAGACTGAAGCCATCGGTTTCCAACTCGGAGATTGCCACTGACCCAACGAATCTCTGGCAAAAGCCAGTGGCTCCAAGCCAGATGCATCTACGCGTGGCTCCAAGCCAGCAGGGGAGCACCACAATGAGAGCTCCAGCTTGATGCATTCATGCGGAAGGTGTTGGATGAAGTGCATGCTGCGTCGACGATCCGTGCCATGATCATTACTTTGGTGCATGTTGCCATGGGGTGTTAGGATTTTATCTTTTAGCCAACTAGTGGCTTTTCCATTAAACCACTAAAAGTAAACTTTTAGCAGGGGAGCAGAAGGCAACCACGATTCTGACTGAGCCTTTTCCAGCTGCAGGCCTTAGATTCAAGATTTCCTTTTTTCGAGGTGGCCCCAAATGATATGGCTGTGGGTCAAAACCAATGGTACCTTTTTGGGGTAGGTGCACCCATTTTAGTCTGTTTTAGTGGAGATTGGGATGTTCACTGGGGGTACGGGATTTGGACCCATGGCCATACCTAGAACTTCCTGCCACGGAAATTTCTGCCGCAACGCATTGCGGCGGAAATTCCCGCCGCATTCCAGAAAATCAGCCGCAAACAAAGAAAAACGCCGCAACCAAACCCTGGCTAGGTGCTCCAGTCGAGAGGTTAGAACAAGGGTACCAACTTTCTTGCTGTAGTCTATTTTGGTAGGGGAACCCTCCCAACCAAAACAGAAACGGGTGAGAAAGGGCACCAATTGCTGGGGGACCTACTGTGGGTGGACAAAATCCTGCACCACTTTGAAACTATATTTGGGAACCATGAGTTTATCGCTATAGGGAGATCCTTCCAGGGTTTCTTAGGTGGTTTTAAATGGGATTTTTTTCGCACGCCACAGTAGCCAGGGTCGTTTCAACAATACAAATACAACATACCGAATCGTATCGTTGCGTATTGCGAGCTATCGGTATCGAAAAGCAAGTATCGCAACCTCACATCGTATCAAAGACTATCGCTGCAAATCGTTTTGAATCATACCGATTTGTATCGGTATCGGTTGGGGTTTGCTTTGAGGGGCCCTTTGGGGCCAGAAGGGCGGCAGCCAGCTGCTGCTGTGCTGGTGGCTGCCTGGCACGGGAGGCGCTGGCAAAGTCTTTGAGAGGCTTAGAAGAGACCCTCTTTGGAGAAATGGAAAGCCAATAAAACAGACTGAGACTGCTTCAAGCCGATTCCATGTTGAACACTTCCCAGGGCTCATCCGGACAGCTGCAACCAGCCGAGGCCAGAAATCAACCTAACTCGGCGAGTTAGATCGTTTTTGAGGGTTCCCACTTCTCAGGGCTCATCCGGGACAGCTGCAACCAGCCAAGGCCAGAAATCAACCTAACTTTTTTGAGGGTTCCCACTTCTCAGGGCTCATCCGGGACAGCTGCAACCAGCCAAGGCCAGAAATCAACCTAACTCGGCGAGTTAGATCGTTTTTGAGGGTTCCCACTTCTCAGGGCTCATCCGGGACAGCTGCAACCAGCCAAGGCCAGAAATCAACCTAACTTTTTTGAGGGTTCCCACTTCTCAGGGCTCATCCGGGACAGCTGCAACCAGCCAAGGCCAGAAATCAACCTAACTCGGCGAGTTAGCTAGTTTCTCAGGGCTCATCCGGGACAGCTGCAACCAGCCAAGGCCAGAAATCAACCTAACTTTTTTGAGGGTTCCCACTTCTCAGGGCTCATCCGGGACAGCTGCAACCAGCCAAGGCCAGAAATCAACCTAACTCGGCGAGTTAGATCGTTTTTGAGGGTTCCCACTTCCCAGGGCTCATCCGGGACAGCTGCAACCAGCCGAGGCCAGAAATCAACCTAACTCGGCGAGTTAGATCGTTTTTGAGGGTTCCCACTTCTCAGGGCTCATCCGGGACAGCTGCAACCAGCCAAGGCCAGAAATCAACCTAACTCGGCGAGTTAGATCGTTTTTGAGGGTTCCCACTTCCCAGGGCTCATCCGGGACAGCTGCAACCAGCCGAGGCCAGAAATCAACCTAACTCGGCGAGTTAGATCGTTTTTGAGGGTTCCCACTTCTCAGGGCTCATCCGGGACAGCTGCAACCAGCCAAGGCCAGAAATCAACCTAACTCGGCGAGTTAGATCGTTTTTGAGGGTTCCCACTTCTCAGGGCTCATCCGGGACAGCTGCAACCAGCCAAGGCCAGAAATCAACCTAACTCGGCGAGTTAGATCGTTTTTGAGGGTTCCCACTTCTCAGGGCTAAGGCCAGAAATCAACCTAACTCGGATCGTTTTTGAGGAAGAGACCTTTTTTTGAGGAGGCTTGTAAGAGCACTTTGGTGTAGTGGATTCTCTCTGGCTCTGGCACCTGCAGATGTGCAGGCTCGATTCTTGCTTCTTTCGGGCTTTTGGCGACACAACACGCCGAATTCGAGGTTCCCGGCCTGTTGGCAGCACAGCTTGCACACCAGCGCGCAGCCGCAGCGCCGGGTGAGTATATTCCTTTATCGAGATATTGTTCAATACTCCCCTGCTGTATCGCAAGTTTATCGGATATTCAAAGCAATACATATCAATAAAATCGAGTGGTATCGCGGAGCTTGCGGTACCGAACCGTATCGTCATCGAAACAGCCCTGGTAGCTGGGCTTGAAAGCGAACTCTCGGATCGCTCGATCCGAGAGCCTGCCTATAGGACTCCAGGTGGTAGTGGAAGGCCTGGGTCTCGTCCCCGGCCTTGTTGAACAGGTTCGCCAGCCTCGCCAACACGCCTGGCGATGGCCCGCACAAAAAAATTCCATGCCCCAAGGGCTCCCCCTCAGGAAAATTCATGCCTCAAAACCCCTGGAAACCCCCACAGAGTAGTGTTTCTGATGAGCTTTCTTCAAACCAACTGAAAGAGGTTACCCAGGACACAAGGTGTCCTTACACAAATGGCTGTGGGTCAAAACCCTGGAAACCCCTGGTGAACATCAAAATAGGTGGAAACAATGGGTGTTCCTCTGCCCAAAAATGGAGGAGAGCGGCCTCAAAAAGCTCTTTGAAGAGTTGTGCTCTTGTTTTTGTTTTTCCGAAGGCCAAGCTTCTAAGGCAACTTACACCCTGAGATTGGCCGAAAAAAGTCGAAAAAGTCAAGGAGAACCCAGGAAGTGAGGCAAAGTCTAGGCGCAAAGTGGGACAATTTCCACCACCATCCCTTGAGTAAAAGGCCAAGTAGTGAAACAACATAGGTGCCAAAAGAAACACTAGTGCAAGCCCTGGAATTGCAGGAGCTGAGTCTGATGCCTGGCTGCTTTCCAAAACTCCTTCAAGGGTGTGCTTACACAAGAAACTTCCCAGCGACATGCCAGGCCCACAATAAACAACACATTGTGGCGGGTGGGGTGCGGGTGTGTGTGCTTTGAGTTTCCCTGTCCAACAAAAGTGTCCCCTTTGCTTTCGAAGTGTGATGCGCGCTCCTGCGCACAGGGGCCGTGGAGAAGCGCGATGGCTACTCCCATCGCAAGTTGTTGCCCAATAATTTTTGGGAGGGTTGTACCACGTTATTCTCCCACTTTCTCTGCGGGAACATCGAGATCGGAAGGCATGAACCTCTAGCACAAATATCCAAATCCGAAACTCAACTACGGGTGCAATATCGTCCCTAAGAGAACACAAAGAAGGGGCCGCGCCACCCCATCCAAAGCAAAACATAGAGGAATTCCAGCCACCTCCCTGTCACAAAGTCATTTGTTCCAGGGTGGTGCAATTTGGCAAGCTGCCCCGCTTCGCTGCATGAAAGGGGCCGAAACCACAAGGAAACGGCTGCCACCAGTAGCAAACCCCCTCTGCCTTTCCTAGCAACCCCGAGTATCCAGGTCCTTTGACAATGGCACGGATCAGTTTCAAGAAACCGAATGCAAATGGACGCAAGGGTTCTCTTAAATGGTTGTCTGTTGGGAACAACCCTGTGTGTGTGTTGTGTTTGTGTTTGTGTGTGTATTTGTTCGCGTGCTTTCGTTTGTCTGTCTGCGTCTCTGTCTGTCTCTGTCTCTATCTGTCTCTGTCTCTGTCTGTGTCCCTGTCTCTGTCTTTCTACTGTCTTTCTCTGTCTCTGTCTCTGTCTCTGTCTCTGTCTCTGTCTCTGTCCCTGCCTGCCTGCCTGCCTGCCTGCCTGCCTGTCTGCCTGTCTGCCTGCCTGCCTGCCTGCCTGCCTGCCTGTGTGTCTGCCTGCCTGCCTGCCTGCCTGCCTGCCTGCCTGCCTGCCTGCCTGCCTGCCTGCCTGCCTGCCTGTGTCTGTCTGTCTGTCTGTCTGTCTGTCTGTCTGTCTGTCTGTCTGTCTGTCTGTCTGTCTGTCTGTCTGTCTGTCTGCATGCCTGCGTTTGTTTTGTGTGAGAGCGCACCCTTTTGAAAGTTTCACAGGAAGTCAAGGGGAGATTATCGGGGCTTGGCCTTTTGTTGCACATACCCATTTGTCCTTCGCGCTATTGATGCAATCTCTTCAGCCTTCGGTTTCTTGGATTGCGCGCGGGCACTTCAGCAGCAAGATCTCTACTGGCCAGAGGAGAAAAGGGTACCTTGCACTTGTTCAACCGGAGAAAAAAACGTTGCTTGCTCGATTTTAAACAGGGACACCAATAAACAACAGTTCATGGACAGATTCTAGAAGAGGTTTCATCCAATTAAATCCCAAATGCCCCTCAAGTGGTCTATTGGTTTAGCGTAAGTTTAGCACTGGTTCAATATGGACTTAGTATTGGTGTAGAAGCGGTTTGGTTTTGGTTTAGTCATTGGTATTGCTTCGCGCTGCCTCAGTACTGAATTAGTGTGCCGGCCCTCCTCCTTGCCTGTTGCTCCTCTCTAGTACGCAACCCTCAGTGACCCTCTCCATGACTCCTAACGAAACCAACCATTCCGCCCGGTCTGCCTGGATCAGTCGACCGGCCCTTGGGAGACGTCACCTGAGATCTGGCGAGGCCGTTTGCCGGGGTGGATGAGATGCTTAGACACGGCGCCTCTTTAAGAGCTGGCTTCAATGGTGAGCACAAAAAAGGAAAACAATAAGACAACTATCCGGGGTGGAGTCAAGCCTCCATGATTTTGCTTGTCTCCAGAGTGGAGCAAAGACACCGCCTCACCCATTGGGCAAGCGGATCTGTACTCCTGTGCTTCTTTCCTTCCCCTCTTTCCAGACTGGAGTTCGGGGTCAACAGCCCTGCATTAAAGCCTTTGGCCTGAGGCCCATCTGAGTAAACCTTCTGGAAGTTCCCCCGCAGTGCTCGGGTGGTGAAAACTGCTCGCACGGTACACAAGTAAACCACAAACGCCTGCTCATCAAACGTTTCATGTGTTTTCTGCCTTTTTCCCAACATGTCAAGCGCATCAAATCAACGCCAAGCAAACCAAACCATGGTGTGCTCTCCTTGGAACCATCCTAGGTCCTCCAGTAGAGAGGATAGAATAAGGGCACCAACTTTTTCTGTAGTCTATTCTAGTAGGGGAACCCTCCCAACCAAAAAAGCAACGGGTGAGACCAATTGCTGTGGGACCCAGCAAAGGTCCTCCACCTGCGCCTAAGGCTCCTCTGAGCCCTAACTTGGTTGACGTTGAAAGGGGAGCAACAATTCTCCAATTTTAGCCGCCAAGTGGATTTGGATTTCCACCACTAAACCACAATAAGGCCAAAAATGGGCAAAACAAGTTTCCCAACAAGCAGGGGGAGGGTCTTAGCATCTTGTTCTCCCACTTTCTTTGCGGGAACATCTCGAGATCGGAAGGCATGAACCCTTTTTGGGGCTTGGACCCTTTTTAGTGGGGCAGCCGCCAAAAAAAAAGAAGGGGAACAGAACCAACGACTTGGTGCCACCCAACTGAGGTCCTCCGGCGCCTAAGGCTTCGGCTCTGAGGTCCTGAGGTCCGGGCGAGGAGAGAGAACCACTCGTGGGCCTTGGGATGATTCCCCAGCTTCTCGTGGATGTCCCCAAGCCTCGGTCCAAGCGAGCGAGAAGGCTCCGGCTTTCGCCGGGCTTTCGCTTCCCGACGGAGGGTCTCACCAACAAAGCGGCCGAAGCCTCGTGCGAAACGTCGCTCCCCAAAGAGCAGCTGGATTTTAGCAAAAGGCCTTGGAGAGAGGCGTCTTCGTTGTGCTGCGTTCCCCCCTGATCAAGATTATCTCCAGAATGAAAGGCCACTTGGACCCGAAAGTGATGCTTGACGGAGTGGACCACTGACCACTGAAATGCCTGAGCCGCGTTTATCCCCAAGATAAGTGTTGGTTGGTTACTGGGCCTTGAAGCAAATTGTGAAAAGTCAGGATCCCGGGAGCATGACATGAAATCGTACTCCAGTTCTGACATTGAACTAAGCCTGGTTCGAACACTTGGAAGTGACGACTAAATGAGGTGATGCTACATGCTTCCAACTGTCGTTGACCCGTTGTTACGCTGCCAAGCAAGTCCGAACCCCGGTGAAACAAGGGTGAACCACCGCAGTAGAAAGCTCACTTTGAGTGGATGGCCAAAAAAAGGTTGGACTTTTGATAACCATTCAATTTGTTCTTCCCTATAAGAGCAAAGTCTCAGCTTCTGTTTTCGACACCAAATCGAGAAAGTCAAAATCATGGGCCTACTTGGCGACTAAGCATTGCAAAAAGAACGTGATTCACCGTGTGTGGTCGAACCTGATTGCTTTCCCGCGGGCACCCTTCTCTTTTTTAGTGGATGGCTCACATGAGATAACCGGCCGCAAACAACGCAAATTTGTTGGCTGCCTTATCCAAAAACATTCTAAATTGAGACGCCTCTCCTTTGCACGTTCAGAAAACAAATCCGAACAACTCCTCTATGAATTCCCATAACCCCCAGAACAATCGTAGAAACAGCTCAAAGTGTGGCAATTCAACAGGGAAGATGACAAGAGTCCAACACTCATTTGACGTTTGCTTCTACAGCGACTACCTCCAAATGCCCCAATTCGGAGAAGTCACCTCGTGTCCACAAACAAAAAGCTATTTCCGGCCAGACCAACATGTAGCCCCACACTTCTCGCTGTTGGCCCATCCCAGGCTGACACTTGGCCCAGAAAAATGCGCGGCAGCCGTGCAGACTTGTCACCTTTGATCAAATTATATGTTACCTGCTCCTTGGATGGTTTGGTAGGAAAAGCAAAATGAAACAGCTAGATAAACTTTGCAAAACGACGCCTCAGTTTTAAACACGTACAGCTAAGGATCGGCCTTTTGCTAAGCAATCGGGACACGGCGGCAACAGTGTCCATGCAACATACTGATCATAATTGAACTGTTTTTTGCAACGGTTGCAAACTACTGTCCTTGGATCATATTTGACATCTATTTCGCATAAGGTTCTGAATATAGGCCAACACATCTATCGTTTGCAGCTGTCGCTAGGGGTCATTCGGGAGTTTTCTGGATCCAAAGCTGGCAAGACTCAGCTCCACTTGCAGCCTGAATCAAACGCCCTCCACTCACAGATACACACTAGGCTGGAAAAATCGGACCCCAGCAAAAACATCATCTTTTTCGCCTGGTGAGTGGAAAACTACGGGGACCCCAAACAAGATCGAAAAAAAGGGGAAAAAGGGGAGCTAATTCTGGGGAAGCACACACACTTAGCTGGGGGCCAGATTGGCGGACTGGACGTATTTAAATCATGGCTCATCCCTTGCTCTCTTGATACACAAGATCATATGCGGGCTTTTTGTTAGCTCCCAGGTTCCTATCCATGTCTCACAGGTTCTTAGCCTCCGGCTGCCACATCACCTCGCAATTTACCTCGGCCACAAGAAAAGGATCGTCGGTGCTGGTCCCAACGCGAAATTTTGCAGGAACCGGGAGCATTGATTTTGTCATCGGCATCGGAAAGGAAACACTCTTTAAGGTATTTCCACATAGACATCAAGTCACAAAGGACACTCATTCAACATTCAGGTGATGTTGCCATGTTGAAAACCACCGCAAAAGGATACACATATGGGTGTGACCTTGTTTGTGGGGAAACGGGGCACCCTTTTTGGCGGCTTTAAAAGGGACACCAAAAGAAAACCCACCATTTTAGGGGTCTCCTAAAACAACACACACACACACACACCCATATAAGGACCACTGCAAAAGCTGACAGGGAGCTTACGACAACATCCCGGAGAAAAGCGTGCAGCTTCGGAATACCTTGCCTGAGGGAGCCGCTAAAACCCTGACAGCCCGCGTTCACCAGCAAAGACAAATGAGAATCGATTGTTGGCTTCCTTTAAACAGGCCCCAACAGGGATACTCTCCAAAAACAAGTGCTTGCACATGGGTCATCGGAACTTCGCCCACGAGAGAATTATGTTCGGACCCAAATGTAGATGGAATGATGGAACAGGACAATACCAATTTCCACTGAAGCTTGATTGGCTAACTTCCTTTTGCTTAAGCCCTCTGGAAAAATGACGATGTCTCCAGTAGTTGTTGGATTCCCTTCAAAACTAACAGGGGAAAATTACATATATTATTAAGCAAATGAAAGCTAAAATTGCCGAATGCCTCAACAAAATGACCAACCGCCTCTCAGCCCTCCGAGTTTCGCCCTTGACCCCTGCTTTTTGGGCCGATTTTTTTCGGGCACCAGGCACAGGCCTCAACATGTGAGGTGCTCAAACTAGTCTCACTTGCCCAAGAGATCTGAACATAAAAACATACCTTCAGCGTTTGCCACGCCAAACAGTCAATGCTGGATCGTCCGTTTTTGGTAAACCGGTGAACAAACGGTCAAAAATCCCCAGTTTCAGAACCCTGACCAAACACATGGAACACCGCTTGGCTTAAGCTGCGCTGTTCAAACTGTGGATCCGATTTTCCATGCCCCGGACAACCCAGAAAGGGTGAGAGGATCTTGTGAACTGCCTTCGATCAGCCCGCTTAATGCTTCGTTCGCGTTCGCTGAATCTCAGGGGACCTTCATAAAATCGACGATAAAACAAACAAAAAGATTAGCGAGCTGGCGACCACAGATTCATGGTTGAACTACTCCGCCAGGTTGATGACTCCGGATGGCCAGCTACTTTGACAGGGTCCTTTCATCGATTTCTGCGGGGTTTGCGACGGTGGATGATTCGGGCCCTGGGTCGGGCGGTTTCGACATTACCGAATCGGGAAATCACCCTTCCCCGCTCGAAAGAACCGCCACCGACAAGGTCTTTGGCCTCTGGATGTTTTATGTTGACCCCAGATTCATCAACCCCTAGTTGATTAATTGGGGGTGTGCCGTTTTAATGGGGATTCAAAAAAAAGAGTATGAGGACGGGTTCTATTTCGATCTGAATCAACCCGTCCAGGGGAGTGAATCGCGAAACAGGGGACACACCCCTATTAAGCTAGGATTCCCATTAAAATGTTCTGGGGCAGGGTTGTGGGAAATGACCACTTCTGTGATACGACAAAAAGGGCTTCCCAAAGACTAACACCCCATATAAAGGGGGATATTCCCTTGTATCACAGAAGTGGGAATAAACCCCTTGATTCCACAACCCTGTTCTGGGGCTTTCCTTTTGTTTCTCAACCCAAATGGTCCGAATCCCCGGTGACCCGACTTGTTTGGCTTAGCTCCGAGTGGGCAAAAACGGGCCTCCAAAATCTGAAAACACGTGGTCGTGGCAATTTTTCTATCACCCCAAAAACGGTGAGATTTAAGTGAGAGAGGGAATCCACACATTTTCGGGAATCCAGCTTCGAGACAACCCCAATTGAAGGGGTGGCAATTCATGGGCGTGGCTCAAAATTAAACAGCCGGGGTTGCGCAGGGTTTCGATACCAGGTGCCTTTTTGATGTGATGGGTGCACTGGAAGCCCAAACCGAAAATGAGAAGCCAACCACAAAAGGATACCCTAACTAGGGCAACCAACAAACGAAACCCACGGTGGCGTTGAAAAACATAACCGTTGCGGAAATCGACAAGATGAGGAACCGTTGCACCTGGTGCCAATTTTGGTCAACGTTAAACTATGCAGAACCTAGGAGAAAAGATTCAAGTTTATATGCCTCGGCTGTGCCCATCTCCCTGCACCCATCGACCCAACAACTCGATCAATGAAATCCGCCATATTTCCCGTCAAATGGTGGCTAAGAAAACTACCCCACCTCACTTTGAGGGATGCAGGATACCTTCAAAAACACTCTGCTTTACCGGTGTGTCTTCTAATCAGCTGGTAAAAATGTGTTTTTTCATGGACCAACTCTGACACTTTTACAATCACGCCAAACCCTTAAATCTGGACAAATTATAAACATTCACCAACCGAAAGTACAGGATCTCAAAGATAGGGACCTTCACTTTGGGTGATATCGCTGCGACTTGCGTGGAACGGGGGATCCTCACTTCCATTTGCTTAAGCCCTCTGAAAAAAAAGAAAAACACTATTTCCAGTAGTGATAGATTCCCTTTAAAACTAACAGGAAAAAAAACAACCAACAAAACATATTCTTATGCAAATGGAAGCTCACCTTCAACCAAATCGTGTTTACCGTCCCATCGGCAGCCGGATGAGCAGGGATAACTATTTAAACGGTTTAAACCGTCGCGGGCGCTCTAAACGAGTGACTAGGTCCCCTCAAATTTGAGAGGTTAGACTAAGTCGGTACCCGATCTTCTTGTTTTTTCTGTAGCCTATTTTAGTAGGGCTTTTTCCCCTCCCAACCCAAAAAGAAAACAAAACCCCGGGCGTTCTTGCGGTTTCACCCATTGGGGGCCGTCTGCTCGCTCAGCAAAGCGCATGGGTGATGGAGTGGAGCTTATCGAAGGCCAGCAAGGCCTCCTGGTACCTCGGCTGTTCCCCATGCAACCAGCTTTCTAGGCGGGAATTTTCAAACCCCTGCAAAAAAAACATCTTTGTTTTGCCTGGTGAGTGGAAAACAAAGGGGACCCCCAAAAAAGCAAAAAACAAAAAAAAAAAGCGAAAAAATAGGGGGAGCTAATTCTGGGGAAGCTTTGACTAAGCCGAAGGGACCGGATGGCTGGCTCAACCGCCGCCAGGATCGCCATTTGAGTCATCAATTCTGGCTCGGTTTCGAACCAAATTCACCAAATATCCGGGCTGTCCGTTGTGAAATTCCCCTGCAAAAAGTGACTAACATGTGGATTACATGAGTCATAATCAAAACCCGGTATTAAACTGGTCGATCCCCAGAACCATGCTTCAAGAATTAAGAAGGCGGATATCCGAAACTATTTCTGGTTGGGACTGCCCCGTACTAGCCTTCGTCTACCCGGGTTTTGATTGTGGCTCACTTGCTTGTTCGGTTCCTGGAAAAATGAGACAAGACGTCCAGTGATGCCAGATTCCCTTTGAAACCAGGGGGAAACAACAAACAGTCATTTCAGCCAATGGAAGCAGGGGACCCCCAAACGCACTACCCCATCACCCCAAACCCATCAACAAAAACTGGAAAATCAACAATTTTTGGAGGTGTGGTCGGGGGGGTGGTGTGTTTGCGGCGGTCCTGCTTCTGATTTGGTTTGAAGCGTGGCTTGGTGGTATTCCGAGGTGGGGTGGTTTCCAATTTACCCTCTGCAAAACTTCGGGGTTCAAATCCCCAAGCCGCCAACTAAGGGTTACCTGAGTTACATGCTGTTTTCCCTTTTGCTTGGTCAAGGTTTGACCATCAACCCTGGATCTAAACATGTTCTCACATCATTCTACTCAATCGCAAAGATGAAAGATGGTGAACAACTTACCCCTTAAAACTCCAAGCCCTGGGGAAGTGTTCATCTTTTGCAGACATATAGCCCATGTTACCCAACAAGTTCAGAAAAGTGTTGTGTTTTTAAGAGGTAAGAAAACGTCCCAGTTTCAACCGTGTCTTTACCCACACGGTGGGCCTGGTCGGCTTTCCACCTGAAGAGGGTGGAAAGATTCCCTCACTGGGCTGATCGTTTTCAGACGCAAAACGTGACAAACGAGTGGGTCGGCAACCCCAACAACTAAACCAACGAAAAACCAAAGAGCTAAGAAGCAGGATTGCTGGTTGGTCCCCCTTTGTTTGTGGTTTTCAATGGAATATTTGGGGTTGGTACCCCTTTTAGCGGCTTTAATGTTGGTACCCGATTAGTAATGGGATAGTCAATGATGCAAAGTGGTGTTTTCCTTATTGTGGTTCGCCCCCATCGTTGATGGGGACCAGAATAGTTGAAAGTTTTATGTTTTCCCCCCGGGAACACATTAGTTGCAATCCCCCGGCCCCCCCTCCCAGAAAATAAATTGGCAGTTGCTTTACTCAAAAGCATCCCCCTTTCAATTAGTGGCCCACTTGCTTAAAAGCGTTCCCCTTTTATTTGGTTGCTCAAAAACAAAACCCAAAGCAAGCTGAAACTTCTGAAATTTGAAAACCATCCCCAGCCCTGAAACCGCAAATTCTTTATTAAACCGTGTTTAAACAAATTGGAAAAATCAGGACAAGGGTACCCCTCACAGACCGGACTGAACCACAACAATGGCATTGTTTAGGGGTACCACATTAGTTGCAAGCCCCCAGCCCCCCTCCAGAAAATTAAGCCCTCCCTGGCTGAAAGGCACACCCTTTGAATGGCTACAGAAAGAACTGAAAGGGAAGTGGTTACAATACTAAAGTAGCATTCCAAAAAGTCTGCTCAGGAAGAAGTGGTTGCAATACTAAAGTAGTATTCCAAGAAGTATGCTCAGGAAGAAGTGGTTGCAATGCTAAAGTAGTATTCCAAAAAGTCTGCTCAGGAAGAAGCGGTTGCAATACTGAAGTAGAATTCCAAAAAGGAAGTGGCTGCAATACTAAAGTAGAATTGGGCCCCAAAATCCTCCATTGTTTGGACGCCCCAAAAGTGAGCCTACAGAATTCTAGTGCCTCCATTGTTTGAGGGGGGGGCCCTTTATTTATCAAGTTCCAACATTTAAGGGAAACCACAAGGACAACCACAATTTGGGATTCCAGGTCCTAAAAAAACAAACACCCCCATACGTTGCACCCTGAGCTTGGTAGAAAGATATCTCAGATGTTGCCACGCGTTGCCCCCGAAAATCGTATCCTGTTTTAACCTCCACTTGTTGACGCGACCCTTGGGTCGCCTGCGGCTAAGCCCGAACATTTGGGCGCATCTACAAGTGTGTCAAAATAGGGGAGCCCAAGAATTCAGTGGTTCCCCTTTCAGGCCAACCAGAAAAAGGGTACCCTCAAAACACTAGGCTTTCCTCAGATCCCCCGCTAAAAGTTTAACTTGTAGTGGGCTAAATGGAAAACCCCACTAAACACTAAAAAGCTAAAAAGCTAAGGGGATGGCTGGGAGCCACCAAGAACACACACCCACCCACACACACACACACACACCACCCTGATGGCACATGCTCTCATCTGCACTCTAGGCCGGTGGCTTGCCAATGTGCATGTTCACCTCAGCAGCGAGAGCTCTGCATGAGAATCTGGCCGATTGTATACGCGCAAAACAAAAAACAACTCAGCGTGAGACTAGCTTGAAAGAGACACGAGAAAAAAAGGAAGAAATACACAAACAGTGAAACAAACAAGCAATTCGGCAAAGGCAGCCAAAGGGAAATATAACCATAACCAAAGATCTGCATATTCTTCTACATGTCCAAAATCGGAAGGAGGGATTCCCCCAGTGACATACCCACATCACTGTGAGCTCGTCTTACCTCCGAGCTCGCCGTGAATTATAGTGACTCCCCGGAGAAAAAAATCAAAACACTGCTCTGAGTGAATTCACCAACACAAGTCCAAACTGTTTACCACCGAACGTACCACTACAATTGTCTTCCCAAAAAGTTTCAAGTCCAAACTGTTTATGCACCACTGAATGTACCACTACACTTGTCTTCTCAACAAAAAAAAGAACAAGTCCAGGCACTCAGGAAGTGAGACAAAACACAACAGCTCATTTCCTGGGCTTGGCACAAAGCCCCAAGCCGGAACTTGTCTGTTTACCACTAAGCATGTGGCCATGGGTCAAAATCCAAATCATACCCGTGAACATCCCAATCCCTAAAATAGGCTCTAAAATGGGTGGTGCACCTGTGCACCTACCCCAAAACGGGATCCGGGGCCCATTGGTGTTGACCCACGGCCATATGTCTGGGTGCAGCACTTTGCAGCGACCCACAACGAGAGCTCTTCATGAAAGGGTCTTCTGTATATACTTGCACGCGCACACGCACAAACAAACCAAAGCTTTCTCTTGGTTGACGTTGGAAGGGAAGCAAAAAAAAAACGCAATAAAGTGGGGATTTCCCGCTAAACCACAATAAGCAAAAATGGAACCATGA